TAATGTCAATAAAGTAAACTTTTGTATTAGGCAAGCTCACGTATTTCAAGTCGGCGCGGCTCTATGATGATTTTTGATACAAAATTGAAAGAGGGTGTCCATATTGCAGGTGACTATCTATAAATAAAGGTGTTAATCTGCATGCCTTTTTCATAGTTATGCGTTAAGTGTTACTTTATTACTGTAATCAGAGATCGGCATTATAGTGGTATTAACGAGTATCTTTAAAAAGATTATAACACATTTAAATGTTTCTAACTTGGAAAAGTAACGTTTTAATACTAAACTAGCTTCTTTTCCCTATCATAATATCAAACTAAATTATTTCCCTATTCATATAGAACATTTGTGTGTGTTATTTTCATAATGCATTAATTCTGAAGTAAACATAAAACACAAGAAAATATTTCCTTTAATATATAAACAAAACAGTTCAGTATGTTTTTTATATATTTATGTTATCCAGCTACAATTTATTGATTTTCAAAATACACACACAATATTTAATTTCAATCATATTTGCAGTTTGAGCCGCGCCGACTTGAAATACGTGAGCTTGCCTAATACAAAAGTTTACTTTATTGACATTATTTCATTCTTTTTAGAGCGTTTCAAGTCGGTTGTATTTTTTTACAAAAAGAAATTATTTCATGATTTTTAGTGACTGTATTCTGCAAAACAGGCGCTTCTATGTTACTCTCCAAAATAAAAACAGCCGCTGGAGAAACCAAAAGAATGGCCTTCCCCAAGGTAGCGTACTGGCCCCTTTGCTGTATAATATTTACACTAATGATCAGCCTATACAGCATAATACTAAGCAGTTCATCTATGCTGACGATACAGCGGTAGCAGCTCAAGAGCATACATTTGAGGAGGTTGAGAATACGTTGACAAAAACTCTGGAAAAACTAGGAAGCTACTATGATGAGAACCATCTTAAGCCTAACCCAACCAAAACCCAGGTATGCGCTTTCCACCTACGGAACAGAGAGGCAAAAAGAAAGTTAAGGGTACTGTGGAGAGGGCAAGAACTCGAACATAATGACTATCCTCAATATCTAGGTGTGAAGCTGGACAGAGCATTGACTTTTAAACAACACTGCCTTGCTACTAGGCAAAAAGTGTGCTCCCGCAATAATATCATTCGGAAACTTACCAACACATCCTGGGGAGCACAACCACAGGTGCTACGCACTTCTGCTCTTGCTCTTAGTTTCTCAACAGCAGAGTATGCAGCACCAGTGTGGAGAAACTCTGCCCATGCAAAGCAGGTAAACATAGCCATCAACGAAACTGCAAGGATCGTGTCAGGATGCTTAAAACCAACCCCAGTGGACAGTATATACCCTCTCATTGGGGTAGCTCCACCATATATAAGGAGAAACGTGGCAGCCGCAGTAGAACTACAGAAGCAAATGACCGACCACCGTCATCCACTATATGGGCATCAACAGCAGCCCTCTAGACTCAGGTCAAGAAAGAGTTTCCTCAAAACCACTGAGATACATTCAGTAACACCGGAAGTATTAAGGCTTCAGCTATGGAGGCAGGAGGCTCAACAGCCACCAGTAGAACTCAGAGAGGAACTCCCTGCAGGCTGTCACCTGCCTTATCCCACATGGAGGACCCTAAATAGATTGCGAAGTGGGGTCTCGAGGTGCAAAGTAAACCTCATGAGGTGGGGGTACTATGAAGGAGAACCAAACTGCACATGTGGGGCCCCTCAGGACCATGAACATCTTCTAGTTTGTCCAGATATGGATAGAACATGCACCTGGCTCGATCTTAAGGAGGCAAATGACGAAGCCATATATGTGGCAGATTATTGGAAAAATAATATCTAATTGAGCTGGTGTTTTTATCCGGACACGGAAAGTAAGTAAGTAAGTGACTGTATAATTTTTTATATATCAATTACTTGAGGTTTTTTGATAAGCAAAACTGTTTGAAACAATCAAAAGTTCCACAGAACAATAATTATTTTAAAACTGCTTGAGTCACCTGTTCAGGTTACATAATCATTGGTTATGAAAATAAACATTTTTAGATATTCCTTAAGAAAGAAAGAGTTTTCCATTACATTAGGCCTGATGAAAAACTAATTGTCTTTTCTAGATACATTGAAATGTCAGACATCATCGTTTCCTGCAATCGGTGTACTTCTACATTATAAAAAGAAATACAGTAACGTCTCAAGCCATGGTGGAAGGAAAAAACATAGGTGTGCTATTCCCACATATTTTGACGTCACTCGGATTGCAAACAAAAGATCACATGATTGTAACTGTCAAATTAGTATATGTATTTGTTTTGATTTGGTTGTTATTGTTTTTATTATTATAAAAACAATAACAATCAAATCAAAACAAATACATACTAATTTGACAGTTACAATCAGGTGATCTTTTGTTTGCAATCCGAGTGACGTCAGAATATGTGGGAATAGCACACCTATGTTTTTTCCTTCCACCATGGTCTCAAGCCTTTTGGAACAATATGAAAGTTATTCCTCAGCTACCAGCACTAAACAATCTCTCAAAAGTGGAAAATTGGTCGTTAACACATATAGTACCTTTGGAAAATATTATATGAAAGATTGGTTCAGCTAAAAGTGGTATAAGTCATGTAGGGGGTTTTGTTTGCTCAAGATATAGCCTAGTCGAAATTGCAAATCATCTTCCTCTAGGACTTTCCGAAGCAGGCATAATAGTATTGATATGTTATAGGTTATAGTAACTGGGTAGAGAATATTAATAAACATTCCACATCTGCAAATGAAATATGTATATGAAAGATTGGTTTAGCTAAAAGTGGTGCAAGCCATGTATGTGGTTTTGTTTGATCAAGATATAGCCTAGTCGAAATTGCAAATCATCTCCCTCTAGGACTTTCCAAAGCAGGCATAATAGTATTGATATGTTATAGTAACTGGGTAGAGAATATCAATAAACATTCCACATCTAAAAATGCATGTTTAGTAATTAAAATATTTAACACTTTTAAGACAATTGACGATTATGCACTGTCACACTTCTTAGGTCGTGTAAGGAATAATAGCATTTAATTTATATTTAGACCTGTTTTACGAATGCTTTGGTTTTCACAATACACCTTTATTTGTCAATATCATACAGCTATTCACTGAAATATATATGTTTTTGTAAGTCAGAATATTCAATACTAAAAACAGAATTACTGTATACACAAATCAGGTCAAACGTTAAAATACATTTTTTATAGTAACCAAAACAAAAAGCATTTTTCCCAATGTAATTAATTTAGGCTCCATGGCAAGAAATAGTTTATTGATCAATATGAAGCAACTGTTTCATGAAGAATTGTCTGTAGCTTCATTTAAATGGTTTCAACTAACAGCTGTAGGAATGTTATTATTATTTATTGCCTTCTCTGCACAAATGTAAACAATCTGCACAAATGTAAACAAAATAAATGTTGAATATTTAAGGTTTTCAGAATTTTTCACCGAAACTAATATTATACTTAAACATAATATATAAGGTACCAAATAGGAACTCTCCTGGTTATTTTGGTGGTGGAACCACACTGATCGGTAAAAGAATCACAGAGAAATTGGTGAACATACATAGAAAAAAAAAACATCGCCACAAACAAATTGAGAACCTCCTCCTTTTGTTGGTAGTGGGGAAGTCGGTTAAAAACATAGCTAGTTTTACATATATACAAAATTACTCAATTTCTAAAACTTCTACCAATTCATAATGCAATTTTATGACTTCAAAAAACTTGAACAAGTAATGTTTCAAATCCAAAAAACTTTACAAACCATTGTGGTAAGTTAGCAGACGTAGCAGTTAAAAATTTTAGGGATATAAAATAAGCCTCAGAGTACAAATTAGAATAGAAAAAATATTTTATTACAAAATAATGAAATTAAAATACTTTTAGAAGTTAAGATCAACATTTTAACTTTCATAAAACTTACAACTAGGGTAGGCCTAAACAAGTTTGTAATGATGAAATATTAATATAAGTTTTGTGAATAATATTATTCTAGTCTAGAAAAAATAAACCTAAAATAAGACTCGTATAAAATAAAAACGTTCAACTTGGTTGATAATAAACTTATACATACAATAAAAATGTTAACCTTCATCTTCATCAAACTAGAACTTAGACAAAAATCAAACTTGGGTGAAAGTCAAACATCAAATTTTAGATTATGTTTTGTCCACGTAGATCTGTTTCAGAGTGATTAGTTGATTAATTTTTGTAAATCCTTAATTAGGAATGATAAATAACTTGTGTAGATTTTTAAAATATATTCAGAGAATAAATATTCCATTTAGGTTATTAAAAAATAAGAGTTTTAAAGGTAATACTGATACACAAAACCTATCTTTAATGTTATTTTAATCTGCTTATTAGCAAGTACTCCGGTCAGTTAGCCTGCTCCAAATACCACAAACAACATAATTGAACAGAAGAGCTACATTGCTTGCACTTTCAAAATTCAAACTCGCAGACGAATCATCAACACAGGACAGGATCAAGGTAGCCAACATACGTCCAATAAGGAACAAAATTTCTAAACAAAATTCCAACAAGCTATACCACTAATTGATTATTGATTTCTTAAAATAAGGCGTGTTTAGCCTTGTTTAATCAAAGTTAAATTAAATCAAAGAAGCGTCAAGTTTATTTGTCCAAGTCAAAGAAATTTTTATCTTTGATGGATTTTTGCAAATATTTAAATTTTGTTTAGTTTAAAAATATATTTTTCTTTTATCTGACTTCCCAACTGGTGGCAAGAAAATTCCCAACTTTTCTCTTTCCCAGATTCTAGGGGGGTGAGGCTCCCCCCCTACCCCCCCCCCCAAGGCGACGCCCCTGACCCTGAACCCTGCTCGGTCACTTCACTTTCTTTTCCTTTGTCTAAGATGCATTTCAGTGCTCATCAATCTTAAGCTGTTTTAGTTGCGAAGTTTTACCATATTCATTTTTATATTTTTCTTTTAAAGGTGTACAACAACATTGCAGACCATTTCAGCGAGACCAGAACCAAGGTGTGGCCGAATGTTAAGCAATTTCTGATGTTGTTTGATGCTGGATCTGTTATAGTGGACGCTGGTTGTGGCAACGGCAAATACTTTGGTGTCAACCGTGCTGTTTACCAGGTTCGTGTCTTATCTAATTGAATATGAACAAATATAGGCATGTTAATTATTAATTTATAGCTTTATGAACAAATAAACATTTTAATTTTCAACTACACCCAAGGATTTGCACTATACGTTCTTCATCCTGAGATGAAATGTCAGATTTATACAAAAGGTTTTGGACTTTAAAATTTATGTTTAAAATTCTGCTCATTCTATGCGTTGGAATTTATCTTCATTCTACCTTGTTTTCACTACTTTTACTTTATTTGACAATCACTAGGGATGACATGGTTAGGCAATTTAGTGAGAATATTATCTGCAAAACTTCACATTTCTTTGACAAATAATGATAAGGCTTTATCATTACAGGTAGGGTTTGATCGGAGCGAGGGTTTGGCAGGAATCACACACAGTCGAGGTTTTGAAGTGTTTGTGTCGGACTGTCTCAGTCTTCCTCTCCGAGACAACGTGGCTGACGGGATCATTAGTGTGGCAGTCGTGCATCACCTGTCGACTGCTGCGCGACGTGAGCAGGCTTTGCGCGAGATGAGTCGTGTGTTGATGCCTGGTGGACGAGCTCTAGTCACTGTGTGGGCCAAAGATCAGACCAAACAAAGCAAGACTGCGTATCTCAAGCAGGACCGGAAAAACCGGAGAGGCTGTGACCGAAGTGAGAAAATTTCGCAAGCCCGTGAAGTGGCAGAGAATAGAATCCACCAATGTGAAAAGAGTGTGAAAGAGAGCACTTCAGAAAAACCATTAGAATTCTATACCAGTGTAGATAGTCCAAACATCACAAACAATGATTTTAAACTTCCAATTCACACAGCTAGAACAGAGTTTCAGCATCAAGATGTGTTTGTACCTTGGAAAGTCAAGAGCAAAAATGCTGAAGAGAAAAAGGAAGCAGTTTTCTTGAGATACTATCATGTGTTTGAGGAAAATGAACTTGTTAAATTGTGCAATAAAATTGAAGGAATTAATGTGTTGGATTCTTATTACACAGAGGGAAACTGGTGTGTGATATTTCAGAAGGATGAAAAATAACCAAGAGAATGAATGTAAATAAACATGTAATTATTAAGAAAAGTTTTAATTCTTTTTTGTACAATGCACATAATTCTCCAGGTAAATGATAGAATTAAGTTTAAATTGAAGTTATTTCTCCCTCCTCGAACATTTGCAGCAGTTGTTACAACATTATGAAAAAAGTAGATTTTTGTGGACTGTTTGAAGGGGAGGTGAAATGCCACTTTTAGGACTACTAATCCATTGGCAATTCATATCAAGTTTCTTTTCAACATAATAACCACGTTCAATAGGTTTCACCTACAACTAAAAGGTTTCACGCACAAATCAGTGGGGGTAACTATTGAGCTATATCTATCTGGAGGTGGTAACACTTGTTGAGAAATATTTGTGCTAATGCCAGCCATTTAGTGATGAGGATCTGTAATTATTATCCCCTGCTATTTTGTCCCCAGGCAAATTATTAATATAACTAAATCCATGGTAATAATGCTTTTCCTAATTTTATGAACACAAAAATCGATATTCATGTTCCAAGTTTTTGTGGGCATACACAAATGCAGGGTGTCTACAGCTACTCGGTTACATTAGCAAAAATTAAATTGAAAACAAGTTAGAAGTAGTTTTGAGAGGTTATCTTTACATTAAAACTATTTTTTCCTGCAGTTACCTAACAATGTACATGTTCTCTCACTGATTTGAGAAAGCAAAGTGGCCAATTCGCTCATCATTGAGACAATGTTAACATTGTCTCACTCTACTTTTTCTCACTCCAGATTTTCAACAAGAAGGCACATTTCTTTATCAATTTATTTGTTTTATGGTAACTGTAGGAAAAATATAATGTGCAACTTGAGTGCAAAAGTTGCACAAATAACTTTAGTTTTGTAACATAATTTGTTTAAACAATGGTCCAATATGACAACAAAATATAGTTCATCACACGGGTAAAATATGTTTTTCAACCCTCGTTCATTTTCAAACCTTGGCTTCACCTCGATTGTAAAACTTGAGCACGGGTTGAAAAGAGTCACTTTTGGCCCTAGTGATGAAATATACTATTTTAATGTAAAACAGTATCAGCAAACTGGTCACATAATGTTCTGACTTATCAACCATTTATTTTTCAATTGTTTCATCAACATTTTGATTTTTATTGCTACTCATAACTTAATTTATTTTATCCCATGTCCTCTTTCATTGTTTTTACTTTCTTCAAAAATATTCATTTAATATTTTATTTTGGCTATCAAAATATCTTTATTAATATTATTCCTTAAATGTACGGCTATTTATTGCTACATTCCCTTCCTCTTAATTTTTTTCAATGAAGGATCATGAAAATTTGTCCAAGTGGTTAGCTTTAGATAAATAAAACCCTCTCAGGTTTTAGTTAATGAGATAGATATAGAACAGTCTTGTATTATGATCTAACACAAAAACAATGACAATTTGGTTGGAAGGTGGCAGCTGTGCTGTGTGCGTTTCGCAGGACATCAAGCCCATGTTAGGCAATTTACCTTCTGTAGACTTTGGCAATCCTCACCCCGCTATGTCACTCACAAGGGAGTTAAACACCATACCTGATACAAGATTTGATTTATTTGAACCCTAAACCTCCCAGTTAGTTCTTCATTGCCTTAGAAAATTCAGCTATTGATTATACCTGGTCCACCACAATAACAACACCGGTAAAACTAACGCTTGACTACCAATTGCATTACTATAAAATAGATACACTTACACACACTAAAGATAATTTTTAATTATAAAAAAATAATCTAGGTGGTATTACAATAAAACCAAAATATTGCTATACACGATAACATTTTACATTGGTTTATTTAAAAAATTGAATTATACATTTCTTAACACAAACTAAAAAAATTGTAGCTTCTATCCAGAATAGATCCAAATCACCTTCTCTTTGCATCACCGGAACGTCTGGTACTCTAGGTTAAGGAAGCAATTAGAAATGTTACACAAACTTATTATAGATATTATATAAGCAAATAGTGAAAACAAAATACTCTACCTACAGTAAAACCTCGATAATCCAGCTTAGATGGACGACTATAGGCTAGGTAGACTGGACCATCGAGAGACCTTTTTGAATTAGCGTTACCAATAGTGAATTTGACAGGCCAATGATCTTGCAAAAAGTTAAGAGTAAAAGCTTTAATGGTCTCTGCCCGAGGGAAGAGCAACGGCTGACACTGTTGTGACAAAAATATTGAAAATAAATAACTATAGGAGCAATGACCTTTTTTATGAGCGTGTGGTGAGTGGTATTCAAGAGTTGCGTGTTTCGTACTCCTATTTGATATCATACATATTTAAGTATTACATGTTTAAGTACAGTACAAATATAATTGTTTGAAATTGTACTGCACTTTAATATCCCCACAGCAGCTAACCTGCTGACTATATGGATTACCGTTTGACTGATCGGATTTCCACTAAAATATTCCCTTTATAAAAACACTTTATATTTATTCCCCATTTAAGAGGCATTAGGTTTTAGTATGTACTTAGATTTGTTGCTACCTACAAGGAACATAGTGTGTATTTTTTTTTCCTAAATGTTATTAGCTCGGTACAAAATTAATAAATCTACCAAATTTAATAAAAATGTATCCACAAACAAGTAATCTACAACAATTTACTTATTCTCCATGTAATATTTTAACACAATATTAATATTAGCATAACAATTTTAAATTTATAGCTTTTTTTTATTTCCTTTGCAATTTGATAATAGACATAATAGGCCTAACACTTCAAAATATTAGCATAGGCTATATTTTTAGAATAAAAAAGCACATAAGACCATTTTTACCACGTTAACACGTTCAGTGCTGACTACATCAATTGATGTAGTCAACGAGCGCTCCTATCGGCCTACATGTAGTTGCGCAACCCCTAGTACATTAGTTCAGTATGAGCTCAGCCATTGCCAGTGAACGCTAAAATCGTTGCTACCAATGTAGCTTAGAATGTGAGCTTTATTTTGGTGTAGGTTGGTACTAAAATTTCCAGTAAAATCCCGTCTGACAATGCTTTTGTTTCGGTTTCGGGGATTTTCTCTCTTCAAGCCACATTACAAAAGCACTGACTACTGATCAAGGCAGTGCTGCTACCTTTGGGTGTTTTAGAGAACTACGTCTAATCTTGGGGTAACGTAGTACAATCACTACTGCTCTTTTGTTATTCGCCAGATTGAAATATTTGAATGCCAATTGTGTTCGCTGTTACGGTGCCGCGCCGGGGCTTCGCCCGGGCCTTGCCGCCATTGGCGAGCGCCTGTTGGAATGCCTGCCGCACTGAACGTGTTAAACCCTGTTCCCATAGTCTGATAATGACGGTTCACAAGCTCGATCAAATATCCGTAAATGAACCAGTTTTAACCATATTTAGTAAAATCAATCAAATTTTTGCTAGAGTTATTGTTCTAATGGACACACGTCTATAATATACCTATTTAAATATATAAATTTGAGCAGGGCGTGTTTTTGGCTTCTGGGGACCGAAAAACCAAAACGTAAATCAATCTCAGGTCTACGTCTTATCATTTGACCTGTGATAATAGCTTATTCCCTATATAGGAAATTGACTGAAGAGAAAGAAGCTAAGTAACAAGAACAAGGCTATGTGGCAAATTATATTAGTTATTGATTTAGTATTAGTCGAGATGGTGATTCTCTATTTGTAACACTTATACCAAGTAATCGTCTTATAATCCTTAAATATTCTGGAATAGATTTGTTAACAACGTTAAAGTTAACCGTAAACACTGCTGCTGGTCGGTCAACTGAATTAAACACTCAGGAACTCTGTGTACATTGATACATCTCTTCCAGGCAGAATTGAATATTTAGCCTTCTTCGAAGCATTTTAGTTTTATTTGTTTAAGTTTGCTAGTTCATGTGAAGTAGAATATTTTGTTAGTTTGGCAAGACTAAGGACTTAAAACATATAAATTTAGTGTTGGCACAGAAAGGATATTGTTTATCTCTGCCTTCTCTGTCATGAGATCGTTCTCTCTCTCTAACGTAAGGTGACTTCTCCTGCAACAAAAACAATGCTGTATGTAAACAATGAAGTAATAGCTATTTACCTTACGAGTGTAGTAAGAGCGTTTTTACATCTGAAGTGATGTAAACGTGCAACGTACAAGATTTTACCTGACCCGACAATATACAGGAGGTTACGTACAATATTTTTCATTATCCATTTCACTCATCTTCTAACAGTAACGTTCTTTTACAAACAAAAGCTAGGTTAGGATAATTATTTAAAGCATTACAATAAAATTCAAGCGCACAGCTGATTTCTAGCATTAAACGCCGTTGGCTCCATAGAGGTATAATTTTTTAAGTTGAGCACTCAATGTTATATAAATGGGTTTCATTACATCACCGAGTGTGTTTTTGAGTGAAGTAAAGAAGTTGTATACATCACGCTTGGGATAGGGAAGTTTAACATGGCGGGTTAGGTAAATAAATAAACACTATTAGTACGGTGCAAATAGCCGAAAAGAACAAGCTAACCTCAACATCCAAAGTGAAAGCTAACTTTTCACTTCAAATTGTTCATTATAGTTCCTGTAATGTACAATAATAAGTTACAAAAGAAATTATTTGTTGTATTCAGGATAATGTTTTTGTATTTTATAAGAGCAAATTGTGACTCTAGTGGCCTGAGAATGTTAGTGATAAGCCCTTGAAGACCTCGCTAGACCTTACTGAGAAGAAGTTTACTTTTTAATGGAAAAGAAGCTTCTAAAGGCATAAACCAAGTCTTTTAGCGAATTTCCCTATAGGGAAGTAGCTATTACCATAGGTGGCATGGTAAGACCTAGGCCCAGGACTGATTTACTTTTTCATTTTGATGTCCCCAGAGGCAAAAACACCATTCGTACAAATTTTTATAGATAACCAAATTTCATCAAAATTGGACAAAAATTACTCAGTTATCATATTCACGGACACACACACACACATATATATTTTTTTTCTTGATGGTTTCTTGATAGAATGATGAAAAATGAAACATGAAACAGTGTGAATTTTTGTTTGATAAAAATAATTTCAAGCAGAGAGAAATATGAAACATGTAAAAATGAACAAAACAAATAAATATGAACAGTATACAAATAGATGCATTTTGAGAACATATGATTGAGTACAGATCAAAGAAAAATCAAATCTGCCTTAAAAGAAAATTAAAATTCAGCTGAGTTTAACCACTTTTTTAATATCATAAATTTCAACCAGAGGGGAACTTTGTTTTAAGTGCCAACTAACTGGTGAGCCAATTCAGAATTTCTTAAGACCAGTTGGTTGCATTTAGGGTTTTGATGAGGGTTTATTTTGTGAAGGGCTTTAAGGGTATAGGAGCCTTCAAATTTTGGTTGTGGTGAGTGGACGGTGTAACTTTTGACTGCACATAGGAACTATACAGAACAATACAGTGTCAAAAGTTGGCTTTCACTTTAAATGTCGAGGTTTGGGTCTAATTGCCACGTACTAGATGTATAATTTCTGAACGGAGAGGAGTTTTCCCAATCTCAAGTCTGGGTTGATAGACTACAGCAGGGTTATCCAATCTTTATTACTCAACAACCAAATAAAAAAGTTTGAGGAATGGCAGACCGAACTGTCAACATTGAGTGTAGTAAGGTAGCCCCCTCCAAATAACCCACATATAAAGTTAGTGGTAGTTATTAAGTTATAAAGGCAGTTTCCAAGTAAGAGCTCGGATATTTTTGACTAACTAAAGTTCTGTACATTTTTGTGTGAATTACACTGTGACCAAACAAAATAATTGACTTAACTCACATAATTATTTATGGGTAGCCTTTATAAACTGTGTTTGTCATATTTATACTTTGTCATATAATAAGTATTCTTATGATTATTCAAATTCATAAGAAAGTTAATAAAAATTAGTTTTATAGTATGTTAACCATGAAACTAATATTTGATCTATAATGGAAGTTTTAAAGTAAGACTGATGAAAACACAGGATGAAAATGAGTTTACAAGGAGTGTAAAGATCAAATTAACAGCAATTTTTCGGGAGAATTTTGTATTTGCTAAGGTCAGCCAAATCAGGATTAAAGTTTGTTGTCCTGATTCTTAGGATTGTTGAAAGGTACACTTAGCTTGAAAGATCTGTATTAATATAGCTTAATCACTAAGCACATGCTTACAGCAAACTTTCTCTTATAAAAAACCTGGAAAGTGTGAGAGAGGTGTACTACAGTAGAAACCCTCATATCAGACCTCGGAATAACCGACCTAGTGTCGTCTGGAGCGATGACGCCGAGCCCGAGCAGTAACCCAAACGGCCAATTGCGGATGTTGCTGTAATCGCAGCAGACAATCCAAACTGTCACCGATTACGGGTGTTGCGGCGTTCGCAGGAGACGATTACTGAAGTCGGGGAGGCTGCAGGTTATGCTCACGGGTGTTGTCAAGGCCGTGAGAGTCAATTACCGATGTCGCGGAGATTCCGTGCATCATGGTCGGATATGAAGGGTTCTACTGTATGCACATAAACAGGGTATCCAGCAATCAAGGGCACCGAGAATTGTACTTTAATTTGATATGGACCAAGGACTACAATTATCACCAATAGCCAACAAGTCTCAATTCATTGACGGCGTTCCAATGGTTCTTTTTTAGTATCATAAGTAAATCATCATAGGAGATCATCACAGACATTTGACTGATTACGCAAGAGATGTTCTCAGTGCAGTCGCGATCGCAGGAGATGATACTGGTATCGCCGATACCGCAACATTTACCTACGGGTATTGCCACGACCATGAGCGACGATCACGGTATCGGCGATACTGCTACATTTACTTATGATTTTTGCTGTGACCTTGAGTGACGACCACGCTATCACCGAGACCGCAACATTTACACTTCGGTATTGCCGCGACCAAGATTGACAACCACATTATTGCTAAGATGCTGCGGGTTCTTGAATGACTATCACGATATCATGGAGTGATAAACGTAAGTAAAACATTTACTTACGGGTGTTGTCGCAACATTGACGATCATCGATTTATACCAATTATATACAAATAATTATTTCCCAGTAGGCCTTCCCTGGGCCGTAGGTTGGAGACCCTGGACTAGTGTAAGCCCTGAGTAGCTCAAAACAAGTACTGTTTGGGTACAAATGGCCCTGGCAGTACGTAAAAAAAAGGATCGAGTAATATTGTGCTGGTTCTGTTATATTAATTAAATGTAGGCAAGATTTAATATTTATTTTTTTACAGAGATTGGGACATCAACATTATACATACCTTTTGAAATTGACGTTTGTCTCTATGAGAATCTCCATGATCCCCGTTTTGGTGGCTGGACGTTACTTTGGATGAACCTGAAACGTATCAAAACACAATCATGCATCACGGCTTGAATCCTATTATCATACCTTACACTGAATATGTTTTACACTCACATTGGTTTAATATGACCAAGTATACTACTACCTACACAAAGACTTGTAGACTGCTTGACTAGAGAAATTCAAATTGGGTAAAGTAAAAAAAAAAAAAAAAAAAAAAACCAATGTTTATGGAATACAAACCGTATTACATATTTGATTTAGCTGATTAATATTCTCATACAGCTGATTCCATTGTAATTATCATTAAACTATAGTAAATTCAATAAGGCCTACCTGTACAAAAAAGGTTTAGATGCTTAAAAATTCAGGTACAGTTCAATTCACAAATAATCATGCAAAGTAAACAATGTATTCATGCAACAAAATAATCACACCTTTTTCTTCGCTCTTTCTTCTTTTCTGTTCCGCAGCAGCTAGAGCCATTTCTTCAGCTCTGTCCTGAAATGCAAGAAAGATTTAGGTCAATCTGAATAATCTGAGAAAAATATACCATATATTATTTTTCATTTTGTATAAGGCTGAAAAGAGGTAACATAAAAAAAGGATTTAAATGAGGACTTGAAATTTACAAATGATAGGATTGCCATATAAATGCCTTTCTAAGAGCTACGATAATTATTACAGTATAACACATTTAGCCCCTTGGACAATGTACTTTAAAGACCCCTGAAATATATTGATTTATCCTTATTGTACAATATTTGACTTCAACCAATTTGGCAAGAGAACACAACTATTAGGCCTACAACGGGATAAAACTGGATTTCTCAACCCTGTAAGCTGGATTTCTTTTTAACAGTGCTGTGTGTTTTTTCAAATAATATATTTTTTGACATGAGGTAGGTCTTTTATTTTTATTTGCCATTTTTTTGTGAATGGAAAAACCAATAATTTGATGTTGTAAGGGCATGAGTATTCTGTTCTTTATTTTACTATATTGCACACTTCAGTTATCTTTTTAGTTTTTGATCTATAAAAATGCTGTTATACACACACTAACACTTTTCACAAGGTAAATATAACGGATTCAATAATGATACACTGTTAATAAAACGCGGAAGTTACACTCGCCCTCGACAAAGGTGCTATATTTTACGAATACACTGATGGGCAGTAGGCATGTAATCATGCCAAAAGTCACTACCAGATGTCAGCTGTGACAACCAAAAACCAAAATAATCTACTTGTTGTGCTTTTCAAAATGACATGCAACTTTATTGCAAAAGATTTAATAATCTCCTAATATGCATTTTAGAACCAATAGAATCATTTCCCAATTTTGACAAAAAGGTTACTTTTAAAATATCCTACAGGATTTACGTTCAATATTTTAATTGCATTATTATTATATTCTTGTTCAGCCTTTATTTCTGCGTACATTGATACCAACCTCAACACACTAAAATGAAATTTACACAACATTACTCTTATTTTCAAAAAAACTTTTGTTTTGACGTTCTGAGATTGTCAGCAGTTGGATCGATTTTCAGCTTAATCATATTGTTTATTCTAACCGTCATAACATTTTTGTGCTTGTGCTACTGGGGTTGTTAGTGTTATAAAGATTAAACTTTATAACATGTCTTTTGTTTCATATTGGTTTTAGTCACGTTTAGTATATGTCATTTAATATATGTTTAATCAGTGTTACAAAATGTTTTGGCCACTCCCTACTCACACACTATCTGACTGATACGGTCGGTTGGCCACTCAGAGGGTTACACGCCCTTATATTGACAAAGTAACAAAAAAAAAAAAACCTAACAGAAAAATAGGTACCTACAATCCAGTGTTTAAAAAATTTTGAACAAAAATAGATCAGGAAGTGACTTAAATTAACAAACATACAGTACTGTTTAATATTAAAGGTAAAAGAACACAATTTTCTGGTTTATACTACGGAAAAATATCTGTTTCACCACATTTCTTGTTTACCCTTAATTACAATTAAATAAGACTAGAGTAGGCCTGTTGCTCGAACTCGAGCAATTGCGAAGTATTATAGGCGTTATTTTAAAACGAAATAACAGTCATGATTTTCAATGTCTTAAAAAAAAGAGTCGACTCAAAGATTATGGAACTACTCTTGATGTACATAACAGTTCGAAATAATCAACATTTCTTGTAAATATCTTATCACTTTTCAAAAGCTGATCTTATTTTTTAGTATTTTCTACAAATGTTTCACACTCATAGCCACATTAGGTTGTACAATAACGATTATAAATCAAAAATAAAAATAAAACATTAGTTCTATTTCTTCTACTTGGTGGTGTTCTATGACTTTCCTATGTTTCCATAGTTTGCAAATCGGCTCTTTCAATGATTGCTCAAGAAAAGCAGCACAGTGTTAATTCAGTTTTCTTTTTAGTATGTATGTCAAATGTATTGTCCAGGGTTTCTCTTTTTTCCATTGTAATATTTACGCCAACCCAATTTCAAATCAAATAGTAAATATTTAATTTCAACCAAGTCAGTAAATGTTTGTACCACATGTTTCCTTCAATTGCAACTAAAATATTAACAGCAATTAAATTATCCAGCTTCTCATAATGTAAACAAATATGTTCTTCATAAGGATAACATGGCAACTTTATAAGCCACTGGGGCAGAGCCTAAAGGACTTGTTCAAAAATGTAAGGTCAGTTTGCAAATCTACACACCTAGACGAACATTTTGGTATATAGTATGTGGGGTTAAATCTTAAAACAAAAAAGCCTTATTGGTCACAAAGTTCCATGTAGCGTATTTTAGATAGATAGATAGATGGATAATAGGATAATATACCTTTTTAAACAGCTTAGCACTTTTTTGATTTGTTTTCTACTAACTCTTTCACTATCTTTTTTATAACTTTGTCATTTTTCAAGATTTTTTTTTTAACAAACATTTCCCTCAGCCTAAAACCATGTTTCCTAACTTTCCAGGCCCTGTTAAATACATACCCTGTAAAATGGACTAAACTGTCATACTAGTAAGAGCTTACCATTTATTTTACATCTTATGGTGACACTCTCAGCTAGATCATAGTCTCAGTTGTCTTAAGCTTAGAATTCCCAGATTACATTTCACAATTTTTAAACTTCAGTGCTGCCCCCTTGGTGCAGGTTTTTCAAACCTATGAATAATACACAACTTACCCTTTTCCTGTTCAGCTTTCTTTCTTTTTTTAATTCTTTTTCTTCATCTAAAGGGGTTCTCAAACTTTTCTTTAACTTTTCCCTGCGCTCCTTTTTCTCCACCCTTTCCGAAGTATTTGATGGCACTTCACCGCTTGACACTTTCCGTTCTTCGTGCTTCTGTCGTCAACAAAACATTGTTGAAATGCTCAAAGGTGAGTGGTCCCACTACAACCACTTCTATAACAGACTCAATGCTAAAGAACATTTTTACATTACAGTTCAGAGAAAACATTCAATTGGAATGGCAAGAACAAGACGTGGAAAAAACAATTAAAAATCAATAAATCAGAATAGTTACACTAAGAGGCGGTTTGGGAGCTCGAGGCCATCTAGTACGCGCCTAGTGTTAGACGCGCCTAACTTTAGTCCCCGGACAAGAAACCAGGCTTAGGAGCTCGCGCCTAAGTTGAAATGGTCGTAGATCAAGTATAGTCGCGCCTAAGTTGCAGCGCAGCTAGATGGACATGGAATCGCGGGGATTTCAGGTTTTGACGTTGGCAACGGCCACTGCAGAGCACGTTACCGTTGACCACAACAAACGATGAACAATTGAAGATGGATACAATTTTATCTTGGTATATCAACGGTGGCTAATTAGTAGACTATGGTGTAAGTTTCTGCATTGTACCATTGCAAAAATTTAGTTTTGTAAGATCGTTGATTTACATCTCAATGACGGCTATGTTTTATCTCTGGTACTACACCTTATAAATACGTACAGAGCAACATAGGCTTCTGAAAATCAATATGATTTCTTTCAGAGATCAAAAACATTAGGTAGCCTAATCATTTAACAACGATTACCCTGTGTGTGGAACGGTAACATCTGAAACTCGGTTTCATGCAATAAAAAGCTTCAAAATTAAACAGCAATTGCCCTGTATTTTAAGTAATTAAGTAGTATTTTAAGTAATTGCGGAGGTTATGATAGTGAGAAGCAAATGTATATCTATTAATACTTACAAAGAATTGTTGTCAATTAAAAAAATTTTAAACATGACACTCTTTTATCTAACTTTCCTATAGGGAAGTAGCTATTACCGTAGGTAGCACTTAGTTCCGGGACCGATATAATTTTCCATTTTGATGTCCCTAGAGGCTAAAAACATCCCCTATTCGTTCGTCCCTATTCGTTCAAATGTTTATATATGTATAGCCCATACATAATATACACGTCCATGAACGTGACAACTTGAGTAATATTTGTCTGATTTTTATAAAATTTGGCATGAAAGTGTAAGGCGCGATAAACCTTAATGAGTTCGCGAACCAGCATGAGCAGACCATGGGAACCCCGGGTTTTATGGGATAAAAATAGTTTTTTTCTCAATTTTAACCCCTAAAACATAAATCTTTATCTTTAAAATATTTTAAGGATTATAAAAAACAAATTAGTATCTTAAAATGTTTTGTACGGTTATTGGCTACAGAGACTATTCAAAAAATTGTAAATTTAAAACTCCCATGTGATTGATTCTCATGGAGAATAAGTTAACTGTTGTAGTTTTGTAGTTTATGGATATATTTTGATTAAACTTGGCAAATTTATTTATTTTATATAAAGCTGTTAATATTTTGGTAAAAAACACACTTTATTGCCCTCCCTGTAGTAGCATAACTAAACGTAGGTAGTTTTAGTTACTTGTTAAACCTAAAGCTATTTAAATAAATTTAATTGAAAGTCCTATTAGGTTATTGGATATTCGCTTAGTCTGTAGGTTTTCTGTGGCGGGATTATTGATATACTGTATATATTTTCTTATACTCCAAATAATCTAGGTACTACATTTTGATGTAACTAGCACTTGTCAATGACACTGAACTGAGCTCAATCACAACGCAATAAAAAGAAAACGATTATGACTGTGAGCTATTTGCAGTTTTTTATGTTTTGTTTATTATCTCTTCACTTTTTCGTAGGGGGTTGAGTGGGGGGGGGGTATGTATGCGGTTGCTAATTTTTTCCTAGCTAATAAAATATTTATAATTAAGGTACGGGTGCTTATAACCAAACTCTCAGTTGAAATAAATTCTATTTAGGCTCCATATATTTTTTTAAAGTTAACAGTAAAAACAAAAACAAAATAATATTTCGTTAAATTACTTCCCGCAAGATTTTTTTTATTTTGAACAACAGAAACCTAAAAAAAAACTTTTATCAAATATACTTTGAGGGCAATGAAATTGTTCGGAATTTAATAACTAATTCCAATATAACATTCTTTTACTTAATATGTAAACAATTAACTTGCTAATGGGGTAATACCGGCATGATGTCGACTTAGACCTGCCCCCTGGCAGAACTAAAGTTGGGGACTAAACTCACTAATTTTTATGGCGAAAATATATATCTTAGTCCCGAAATTGGTCTCCCAAACCCACCGAGACTATCTCTTAGGCTGGCGCCTAAGTCTACTTGACTCCCAAACCAACAATATTTAGGCGCGAGATTATCCCTGCACAAGTTAGGCGCGCGCCTAACTGAATCCGAGCTCCCAAACCCGTTTTCTAGGCGGCAGCCTAAATACCGGAAATATCCGGTTCTTAGTCGCGAACTAGCGCTAATACCAAGCTCCCAAACCGCCTATAAATTTAAAACCAAAAAAATATTTTGAAACTGCAATGGATGGAACTAAGGGTGTGTTTATGTCGAAGCTGCGACTAGCGATAAGAGCAGCGATGCGAGCAGCGATGCAAGCTGTGATTATTTCTCTGCTCTCATACTGTGTTTATGTTGGAGCTGAGATAGTAGCGTTGTGTCAAGTGGTTGAAGATGAGTGACTGAAGAAGAAAATTTAGTTTTTTCTTCTTTTTCCATATAGGCCCTACTTTGTATAGAGGGAGAAAGTAATAGACCTTAGATGTTATTGGCTTTTACAATTCAAGGATTAACCAATCATTTTTTTAATAATTTTTCAAAAACCACATTTTTATAATGGGTTTTGAATATTGATATGGTCTTATTTGTTAAGTTCTTTCATCTAATATTTTTTCTTTAGCCTTTTTAGAATTAATTGGAACAGCTGATGATTTTAAAATGATTCATATTGTACAAATAAAACATTCCTTTCTGTTCTTCCTGTAAACATGGTTTAATATTTTTTTCTCTCTAGGTGAAAAAAACGAACCTCTATCACAACAAACCTGTTGTGATGGTTTTTGTCCGATTTCGTAATTATTTCCGCCACTAAACTTTCAATATCCATCTTTGCACGACCAACGACACTAGCTGAGAAAAAGGACTGAAGCATTGTCACAGCTACTATCGCTGGTCGGGACCCAAGAGAGATTTAAAGCGCAGCTCCAAAGTAAACAGACCCATTGAAATACACGCACTAATTGTCTAGGCTCTAATGGCATCGCTGGCTGTAATCATGATGGGTAACCTGATTAAATTTAACATGATTTATAAATAAATAAAGTTAAGTTTCAAAAACTGTAAAACTGCAGTCTAACTGACTACCATAAAAACGGTAACTAGAAATACGGTATGTAAATAATTTTTCAAAACAAATTTATGATCTTAACATAACGTCTTCTAGTATCAATAAATACTAGTTTATGCTCAAAAAGTTAACAGAGAAAATTTGAATCAGCTTACTAAACTAATTTAAATAATGTCTGCAAGTGTTTTGTATCATCAAAACATATCAAGAATCACATTTTTATAATTTTGCAATAGTTTGCAATAGTTGTAACACACAAGAATTTGTTGTTAAACTACTTAATTTGTGATACAGCACTGTTTTCTACTGAAATAAGTTCAAAAAAGTATTATTCACAGTTAGGAAAAACCTTAACTTTTCAGTTATTTTTATTCCAGTTTTACCCCATGAACAGATTTGAATAAATTAGTGCAAACTTAATTTAATATTTTCTAATACTTTAGAGTATTGTCTCTTATTGCACTAATCTTGTAGGTATTGAACTGGATGTTTTAACTGCTAAAACTAAGGTAAGGATCAGCTTAATTTAAATCAACCAAAGTTGAATATTTTTAAAATATTTTAAAGAGACAATCGTGCACACACTGCATAAAATCAAGTTTACATATGGTTTTATTATTCATTTATGTCTTCAGATGACCAAAACCAGAATTTTTTTTGAGCATGAGATTTTTAAACTAGAATTTGTTTAACGGTTTTAACTGTTATCATTTGACAACTGCTATTTTAGTATATATAGCATAAAAATATGATCATGTTTACCATAGGGATGATAAAATGCTGCTTCCTTAAAACATTGGTGTACTCACCATCTGTCTAGAGGTTTGGGAGGCTTGGGCATGGATGGAGGTGGCAAGGGCTCGACATGAGGAGATCCAAACAACCTTCAGTCTTCTTGGGATGAAAGCCCCTGCGGTCTTGAGAAAGATTTTATCTTCAAAATGGAGAACTGACTCCAGAAATCTTCTTCTGTAGATTTGTTTGATCTTTATGCACTCAACTATTGAAGAAGTTTGGGTAATTTTCATTCATGTGATCTGCAGTTTCATTTGGCTTTCGCAATTAAGGTTTATTGTTGAACTTTGAAGCAAAATCTTTCATCGCTATATTTTGTTTTTAAAATACTGTGAATATCTTACTTATAGAGTGACAAAATGAATGGATCCTCAGACATCATCACATATGTTTAAACCATACAAATATTAATAACTCTTCTTTGTGCATTTTTCTTGTTATGTTTTTAAACATTTTCCATTAAAATCAGTTTTTATAAAATTTTGATGGTTTTTCTTGTGTCATTCCACCATCAATATTCATTTAATATACTTTTTTTAAGTACACAACTCTATATCCAAATGTTATAACTTCTCCTTGAACCATCTTTTTACATTCTTTCAGACAAGGTTGATAATTTGTTGATAAAGGGCTCATATTAGTTAATTGACTTGTTTATAAGATATATTTTGCTTGGTATTCCTTAACAAAATATATTTGCTTTCTTATCTGTATAAAGTGTTTAGCTCTAAATATTTCATTTGACTCAAAATCATACGTTTATTTCTGTAAACCTCTTATGGGTTTTTTTACAAATATTTCGTTGTAGCTGTTGAAGTCATTTGTCCATTTGATAATATGTCATAGTTTTTCTTTTGGTTCTCTCTAAACATTGTTTTTTTTGTAGTTCAAAAGTATATCTCTGATTTTATCAAGTTCCAAGCTTACATCCTTTTACCTAATTCTTATTCAGTGACAGCTGCGCTGACGATGGATAAACATCTAAAACTTGTCTTCAATCTTGAAATGAATTTATTAATCGTTAGGGTTTTTTAACGAATATTATTAGGTATGTAAAATTGCCCGGAGAAGAATTTTAGGTTCTCAAAGAACAGAATATATAAAAAACATTCATTCATTAACACGTGAAAAACTACTCCGACTAATCAGGACTTTTTATCTCACTAGGGACCAGCGCATTTAAGGTAGATTTAATTTAATACACACGAATTTAAAGTTTTTTTTTAAATACACAGAGAGTTCCGAGCCACCAAAACACCACAACACCTCCCGCAGACAGGTAAGATAAGACGATGAATCCGATCTTGTTAGAAGACATCGATGCTTACCTTCGAGGAACTGCTGGCTTCAACCTTCTTTCTCTTTGAATCTGAAAAAAATACATATACCTAATATTTTTGAAGGTCAAAGAAGCAAAACAAAACATTGTTTTAAGTCAGGGGTCTCTAACCTTTTTTACTCAAGGGTCACATTGTCAATTTTTGTAGGAAAGGCAGCAATATTTCAAACAAGGCATTGTTTCAAATCAGGGGTCTACAACCTTTTTTACTCAAAAGTCATATTGTCAATTTTTGTAGGAAAGGCAGGGCAGCAATATTTCAGTGCAGATAGTTTGCCATAACCCACAATAACCCACAACTAAGTCATATTATTCTAATCAGTGGTTTTGAAATTTTCTTGCTAATTACTATTTCCTTACATCTAACCGACTGGCTAAATTAAAATTGTTTTTATGTTTGGGGCGAATAGTACTTTAACCTCTTCACTTATATTATTTACGGCTACATAAACTGTAGATATGATATTTATAATTTGTAATAATAAAAGTTGACTTATACTAAAAACATTATAGTGTGGTGAAAACAATATTTGTTCAATAAAGGTAGTGTTAAGTAGGGCTGATGTTTAAAATTTGGCCAAGACCAAGGAATATGTTCTTGATTATGCTGTGACTGCGAAATTAATCACAATTTTGCTGAGAAAACGGAAGACATTCACGATTTCACAGTGACTGTGGAAGATGTTAACAATTTTGCTGCGATCAAGGGGCGCGATGATAATGTCACGAAAAAACAGTAGAAGATGTTCCAGAGTTAGCCATGACTATGGAGGATATTCTTAATTTCGCTGCAACTGCGAAAGACGTTACACTGCTGAAGATGTTCTTGGTATTGTCAAGACTGTGGCAGTTGTTTGCTATTTCGCTGTGACCCCAGAAGACATTCTCAATTTTTAATATGTTTATGATTTTGCTGTGACCACCGAAGATGTTCTTGATTTTGCCGTGACCGCGGACACAATTTCACTTAGGCTATAGAGGACGTTACAATTTTTCCCTGACTGCCAAAGATGTTAATGATTTTTCCTTGATCGCAGAAAACAGTTATGATTTCATTAAAACTGCAGAAAATAATTCAAGAGGTTGGGAAAATCCAGTTTCCGCCCTACAGCCCTTAAGTGCCCATGTTATCGTCAATACCTTTTTGTAGCTGCAGTTAATAAAAACAGCTGATATAGGTAATTTGTATTGCAATCTATGAATTTACTAGCTGTTGTACCCGTGCTTTGCAACGGGAAGAGGACACAAAATAGAAACATTTTTATCTTTACATCTGTTGCATATAATATAGTTACACATCCACCAACGCTTTTAGAAACAAAATTCAACTTTTATGGCCTTAATAGAAACGTTTAAGTTATGACTTTTAAATCTGGTAAGTAGTGGATACCACCATTTTGGGTTTGATTAATTTTAAATCTTGTGTAGGCTGATATGAGAAAAACTGACCAAATCTTAAAACTTTCACATACATGATTTACCTTCATCTCCCTTGGTAACAAATTTTTTTCTTTATTTTTGACATTTTAAATTTCAATTTTGAAGTTACAAAAATGCTAATTTTTAAATATAAATGAACATTTTTTAAATTTTCCTCTTCTTTATATTAAATTACAAATCCTTCCATATTCAGTTTCTTCACTCACAATAAATCATTAGCAACACTAAGTCAGCTGTTATAATCTTTAGAAATATTGTTGTGCCTTATCAATAGTCTTTTGAAATATTAAAGAGACTATATCTGTACTATAAAAAATGTTAAACAGATAATTTAGCATTAACGACAGCAGACAAAACTAATATCATTATCAAAGCAATCAAGGACCAAGGCCAAAACATATGTAATAGCAAATACAGTATAAAATGCTTCATTGCATCTCTGATTCTACTCTACAAAAATATCCACAAACAACTTAATATCATTCCAGTTCTTTTAATCAGTTCCATCGTCTATTGCCTTTACATTTTCACACTTTAAGTAAACATAGTAACAGATATTTCATTGATTTTAGAAACAAAAGAAAACTGCGTACTGCTTAGTTTTATTATATTTTCCTTAGTTTAATTTAATCAGTGATGTGACAAAACACATATAATAAATTTATCAAATAAAGTAAATGTGAACTGAAAGCTATGTTAAGATAAAATAAGAGTAGGGCCTATTTAAATCAACAATATACAATTCAGTTATTGATGATATTATTTGGTTTAATTTAAGCATAGGTTTAGAAAAACACAATAACTAAATTTACCTAAATATACATATAAAAAAACAATGTAATGTGAAAGTTATGTTAAGTTAATCTAACACATGTCAATCAGTTCGAATTTATTTAAAGTAGACTCCAAACTCATATAAAAAATCTATACATTGTAATTTTCTTATTGTTTCCATGAAATTATATCAATAACATTATTTTCATAACACTTAAGACACCTTAAAATCTAAAGTAGAGCCTGAGTTGATGCAGCAATGCTTTTAGAATATTTTTTTTATTTCTATAATCATTGACATAGTTTTTGAATAAATGATCTTTGATAAATCTTTAGATTAAATAAACCAACCACATAATATTGTATGAAATATTATATTAAATTTCATTGGATCAGCTGTCTTAAAATGTGAAATATGCAATTTGGCAGTTCTTCTTGTTTACATTGAAATGTCAAAGCAAATGTAAACATTGCGAGTATTCTCATTGCAGCCATGGAGACCAATCAATATTTACTTTTAAAATCTTCACCCCACAACTTTTAAAGCCAAAGGGGCAAAGCCCATGGTCAGTATCGAAGTGTGAATAGTCCTATAATGGTCCTTGGTATGGTAACTATATTTTTGTAAAATTTAAGCCCAGTTGGTTCAGTAGTTTTTGCACCTATTAGTAATACACATACAGACAGACACCATTAGATTTTTATATAATAGTATAGATAAAAGTGTATTAAAATGTTTTTTATCTAATTAAATCATCTAAAACTTTTTCACATTGATTACCGTACATATCCTTAATTTAGCTAAATAACTTATCTAATAAAATTAATGTTTACTCAAATCCGAGCAAAGCTCCGTCTCCGTGGTACTCATTTATAGAAGAGAGTAAAAAACGCAAAGGTCGTAAGATAAACCCTTGAGGAACACCCATGTTAATATTCCCTGGAGGAGACTTTGATATTAAATAATTTTTCAAAAATACAGTTCTTTGAAACTGGATTTTTAAGTATGATTTAATCTATGCAATTATTACTTTGAAATTTGGTACACATCAAGCTTTTTTTCTAATTCATATTATTTAAAACCAATACTTTTCAAAGCAACCCGATTATGGCCCAAATCAATTTAGGACTCAGACCAAAGTAAAAAAGCCTGGCCAGCACAACCCAAATTTCAAGGGGTTCTGATAGTAAATGGTTATGGGTGTACTAACCTCTGTCTTGGTCGGGTGGGGGATGGTGCAGGGACCCTGAACTGCTATTGGACACTGAGCTGAGCTGACTGTCTTGTGACGGGTAGTAGTTGGAGTAGGAACCTCTAGTCGTCAACTCTCCATCTTTACTGAGTGGCATCTCTGTGAATCTGTCCTCCTGTACACAACACAACTACTTGCATAACTTAACAGTTCATAAGTGATTGGATAGGTTAATGCAAAATTAAATCAGGCCCGCCAATCTCTAAAAAAAAATCAGAACTAATGCCCCAATGGTCTTTACTGTTGAACTGTGCATAACTGTTTTATGGTGTACCTGGGAAAATATCACACATGCAATATAGATAATATGTTGTTGGAATAGGACTGGTCTAATTTTAATTGTAACGCCATACACTGTTTGCACATTTACAGCTCTGAAAACTATGTAGTTATTAAAATTATGTGGTTACATAGAATGGTCAAAACAACTCTACACCTTATTCTACAATTAAACGGCAGCAAATTTATATATTTTCAAAAACTTCTAAAAAGAACTATCCGAGACAAGAGTGCTTAAAATTGAAAAAATTGTGGCCATTAGTTCTATTTGTGTTATAAGAGTTATGCATTTAGCTTTACAAATAAATCTTTTTCAGTTGCTTTTCTTGGTCCAGGGTGTCCACAAGGCCAACCCAGGGTGTCTACTACATTCTGGATAACAAATTCATGGAAAATTCCCGTACATTTAAGGACACTTTGCTGTAACCTTTGTCGGTGTCATTACCGAATAATTTTCCTGATTTGTCAAACTGTATTAATCTTCTTATTCACTGTAGTTGTACCAGAGAGAAAAGTAAATAATAATAGATAAGAGTTAAATTTCAAAATAGAAATTTATTGAAAGTAAACAAACATAGGCCTACCTATACTTTAGGTAAAGCTTTTTAGTGTGGTGGCTTAGCAAAATGATCGTGACCTGATGGATTAAAGCTGCAGCTTTTGCACATTTCTTCCATACCCTAAATACAAACAATTTATGGGGGGGTGCCCGATTTTTAGGTCCGCCATCTTGAAATACGACGCCATCTTTGTTTTCTTTAGAGGAATTGAACTATTCATAGAAAATGGCCTAAAATCACCCAAAAGGACACATTTACGCCATTTTGTATACAACATGTTTTGTTCACAATTAAATTTGCTATAAAATGAGATAAAAACCTTTTCGATAACTTAAATAGTCTTGAAGATATAAACTGTTAAAGTTGAAAATTTGATATATTCCTCTAAGCTACATATAGTTTTTGCTATATATCACCCAAACGGTCAACGGTACGTATCTGTTATTATCATATATTTTATTTGTAATTAAATTTGCTACAAAATGAGATGAAAATCTCTAAATTAACTTAAATAGTTCGGAAGATATAAACCGTTAAAGTTATAAGCTTCTTTAATTTCTGTATGCAATAGGTCGGTGTTTCTTAAAAGTCCCCGCGCTTTGTTTTTTCTGCACGTATTGCGTCAGAAGACTGCAGATTCACACATCAATACTGGACCTAAAATAGTACTTTTTAAAGTACTTCTTGACTTTTTTCACCCAAGGGGGGTCGGCCCACAAGGAGTAAGTTGAAAATCTTAAATAAAAGCATAGGCCATGATAGATATCACATTAAAGAGATTTTCCTGTAGAACGCGTTACCACAAACTGCACTTTAAAAGGACAAGTGGGTCAAAAGTTATACAATTTTATAGTTTTGCTTATTTATTTATTAATTAACGGTCTACACCATTTCATCTCATTGCATAACATATAACATACGTAACGGAACTTAACAACAAGGATCATACATATTAAACAATAGTGTTAACAAGCAAAACAATGATCAACAAGAATAAATGTATAACAAACTTATCAAGAATTGAATAAAAAAGATGTCAATAAACCTGGAATTCCATAAATTGATCGGTTTAAAGTGATGATATTAAAAAATTCTATCAACATGCATCAACATTTTAATAAATATGAAAGCAAACAAGAAATGCAATAACAAACTGGATCATAGGACCACTCTACTGTATTATGGACCACCAAGGATTATGAGAAACAAGCAAGCAGCCTTTCCTAAAAGTAATAAAACTTGAGGAGAAAAATTCGAGAATTTTAGGAATACTGTTTCCCAAACGATGTAGTCCTGGTAGCGTGCTGTTGTAGGCATATGCTGTAGAATGATATCCCCTTTCAAATAGGTCCTGAGATCAGGATGGTCTGGAGCAGCGATAATTTACCCTGCTCAGCAGATCAGGAGAGTCAAGTTCTGCAATGAGATTCTTCCTCAGGAAAACCAGGTCAGTAATACGCCTTCGAGAACTCAAGTGGTTTAGCCGAAGATGCTGTCGAAGATCCTCAAATGGGTAAAACCCTGAATGGGTATCCCAGACGAAGTCCTACGATTCTAAAACAAGAGCTGCACTCTTTCGATGTCCTGTGAACGACCAACTGTATAAATTGGGACCATACAGGAGAACTATATTCCAACAAGGAGAGCACAACCCACACAGAGAACCCATTTCTGGATAATCTCAGAATGAAACCAAGGTCTGAGTTTGCTTTCCTTGTTAACCTGTTATCTTGATCATCAGGGTTGAGATATGATGTAATTGATACTCCAAGGTCGTTGACCGAGGTGGATCTAACAAGTGCATTCCCATTTATTGAATAGTTTAAAAGAGAGGTTGTTGAGGTCCTGTTGAATGGAACTATCATCCACTTTAATTCATTCAAAAGCATTCCATTTTGCATAAACCACATTGAAATTCCATTGATGTCCTGCTGGAGGCATTTCGATTCTGAGAAAACTTTTTACATGATTTTCGTTTGGGCAGAGATAAAATTGTTCGCACAGCCCACTTTTGGAATTTAAATAGAAATTTATTTTTTTAAATTTCATAGTCTCATATAGGTATAGCATACGCTATAGGAATAGGCTATATCATACGCTAAATGAGGATATATTAGTCCGTAATATACGGATATTAGAATTTCGAAGGTAGATGTGTTCTTTAAACTACGTAGAACAAAAATTCCAGAACTGACTTTTGTTGAAACCTGCTTAATGTGATCTGAGAAATCAAAATGTTTATACAGTGTCAGTCCCAGAAACCTAACACTGTTAGTTGGATGAACTGTGTCATCCAGAATTAGGCTGAATCTATTAGAGAGTCTCTTTGAAATATAAAAGTGCAAAAGTTGGGTTTTTTCGGCGTTGACGGAGAGAAAGTTGGAATCAAACCACTCGATTAAGCTACTTGTTTCCCAAAAGGTAGTGAGCTCCAAGCTTTCGATGGTGAGGCTGGAAATGGAGAGTGAGGTGTCATCAGAAAATAGTGTTGGTTTGGCGGTTGATATGCAAGATGGAAGGGTGTTAATGAAGAGCAGGAATAGGATAGGTCCTAAAACAGAGCCCTGAGGCACCTCTCTCAAAATGGTGGTCTTATCAGAGGAATAGGAGCGAATGAACCCGGTTGTCAAGAATCTTTGACAACGTCAGCCATATATTAATGAATATTGAATATAAAATTGGTCCCAGTAGAGATAGATCCTTGAGGTACACCAAAAAAAGCTTCAATCTTACAAGACTTCGCTCCAGCAAATTTCATTGTTAAAAAGTGATTCCACAAATAGTCCTCAAATCATACAAGTATGATTCAGTGATCCCAATCCACCAAGCTTTGCCACGAGATAAGTGTGACTTACACGGTCGAAAGCCTTGGATAGGTCCAAATTGACAGAATCGACCTTATGGTTACGAGAAAAGGCTTGCATTATGTCATCCTGGTACGGAACCAAATTGGTCAAGGTAGTTCGCCCTTTATTGAAGCCATGTTGATAGGACACGATGACATTGTTCAAAGAAAAAGAGAGTCCATGAAGTAGAATTGCTGGAAATATATTAGCCAATGTAGGTTGTACCACCACTGGACGATAACTTTTGACAAATGGGTCACCTTCCTTGAAAATTGGTAGCACATTACCATTTTTAAGACCCCTAGGGAACTTTCCAAGCTTCATCAAGATGAGATGAAATGGTGTTGACCATTAATAAATAAATAAGCAAAACTATAAAATTGTATAACTTTTGACCCACTTGTCCTTTTAAAGTGCAGTTTGTGGTAACGCGTTCTACAGGTAAATCTCTTTAATTTAATATGCATCATGGCCTATGCTTTTATTTAAGATTTTCAACTTACTCCTTGTGGCCCGACCCCCCTTGGGCGAAAAAAGTCAAGAAGTACTTTAAAAAGTACTATTTTAGGTCCAGTATTGATGTGTGAATCTGCAGTCTTCTGACGCAATACGTGCAGAAAAAACAAAGCGCGGGGACTTTTAAGAAACACCGACCTATTGCATACAGAAATTAAACAAGCTTATAACTTTAACGCTTTATACCTTCCGAACTACTTAAGGTTATTTAGAGATTTTCATCTCATTTTGTAGCAAATTTAATTACGAATAAAATATATAATAATAACAGATACGTACCGCTGACCGTTTGGGTGATATATAGCAAAAACTACATGTAGCTTAGAGGAATATATCAAATTTTCAACTTTAACAGTTTATATCTTCAAGACTATTTAAGTTATCGAAAAGGTTTTTATCTCATTTTATAGCAAATTTAATTGTGAACAAAACATGTTATATACAAAATGGCGTAAATGTGTCCTTTTGGGTGATTTTAGGCCATTTTCTATGAATAGTTCAATTCCTCTAAAGAAAACAAAGATGGCGTCGTATTTCAAGATGGCGGACCTAAAAATCGGGCACCCCCCCATAAATTGTTTGTATTTAGGGTATGGAAGAATGTGCAAAAGCTGCAGCTTTAATCCATCAGGTCACGATCCTTGCCGATATTGTCTCTAAGCCACCACACTATTTATAGTGTAACAGAGAAACGCAATCATTGTCTCCTGCGATAGCGACAAATATCTCCATCGGTCACGGAAACATCATAACATAGCTTATCCGATCCAGGCGGATTAATTTGGCATGATTCGCCCTGGCACAACGTTAGGTTCTCGACTACTTTTGAAAAAAAAATCTTTAATGCATATTGTTACTCAGTTCTTAGTACAAAATCAAGGTATGGTAAGCGGCTACCAATAAGCACAGAGTAAGATTATTGTATTTTCATTTGCAAAGTTAATATCGACACATTGCAATCATTAGTTGTTTATCTTAGGCTCAATTACATTTTCTTAATATATTTTACAGGTCTTTCAAGAATCAAAATACCCAGGCCTAGACCTAATTATTTAGGAGGGCCTATATTTTTAAACTGAGTAACAATGAGGTTATAATAGCAGCAAAGTCACTATCATCATTCTACATCATAAGATTTAGATTGCTTAAAGCATACAACTCAATAAATAAATATGGGAAACAAAAAACATTGAAACCTGAATAGCCAACAATATAAGACAGAGATACAGAAAATGCAATGACATAATTTGAAACCAAGTAGGCCTACATAGCGATAAAACATTAATGCAAACAACAATGCTTGTGGTTTAGTCAATTGAAAGATAAAATATCTATAAAAAAGGGTTTAACTTACAAAATAAGACTGTAGATTATTTACATGTTTAATATGAAACCATAAACAGTTTTATGATGGCACTAGGTAATGGCCGCGGCAAAATTGAATCTTCAAGACGAAAGTACAAGTAAGAAGTAAAATTTAACAGCCATTATAAAACTATTATTTTCATGATAAAATAGGTTTGGGGTCTAATAATAATTACCCTAGTAATAAATAAAGAAGTTGTAAAGGAATAAAAGTGATACAACTTTTATGAGCTAGCTGCTGAGTCAACAGTTCTTGGAAGTACTTGACTTGACACTTGATTGTAGTGATAAAATATTAATGGGTTTGAGATTGCTAATGGGATTTTTATTGCATAATTACTCTAGTAATAAATTATGAAAATGTAAACAAACATCTGATAAACCTTTTATGTGCTTCTAACCAACTAGTGACCAATAAAATTATGACCCATTAAAAATTTAAGGACATAGTCTGGCATTAAGGACAATTCCAGTACATTTCATGCCCAGTAAAAAATTTAGTACAATTCCCGGTTTTCCCGGATTTCCCGGTTGGTAGACACCCTGCCAACCAGAAAAAATCATGAGTAATTCATGAGTAAAAAAAATCCAGGTAGTTCAGGTTGTACTTTTCATACTAAACTTTCCAGCGTGTTTTGCACCAACTCCCACAATGCTGTTTTAGCGCTAACACAGCTCGCTATTTTATTTAGTTTATCGGAAAAAGCATTCTCAGTTAAAGAAACAAAATTTATGATCACTGTAATATTGCCTGACACAATTCCATTCAATTTTTATATATTACTGATTAAAAAATCCAAAAATTAAATCTAATCCTTAAACCTGTAATTTATCAATAACTTCTTGAAAATAGTGATATGTCGATATCAAAATTTATTGAATTTCCGTACGGACACCTAAAGAATAGATTTTTAATATAATGATAACTTCAATTTTACCAAATTTTCTGTAAGGTACTACACCAACCCCTGTCTTTATGTACTTTCATATAGTATGTAATTTTAAGCGGCCTACACACTACACGTGCATTGCACGCCGTGCAAGCACGTCGTGCCAAAAACTGACAAAACGTGCAAGTGTGTGGTGAACACCGTGCAAGCACGGCGTGCATTGGCATGGCACGGTGGAAATCAAAACGAGTTTGATTTTCGGCGTGCCGTGCCAAAGCACGCCGTTCCAACGTGCTAGTGTGTAGGCGATCCCCGTGCCACGTGCTGGTAGTTCAACCACTTTTGACAGGATTTGGCCCTATAATAGTACTTTCTTATTAGTGAATCAACGGCATTTTGTCTTCGCCATTTGCAACACAGATTAAATACGCACATAGTGGCGTCCCCATTTTAAATAATTGATAATTATTGATAATTGATAATTTATAATTATTGATAACTGATAATTGATAATTTGCACGACCATCGAGATTATAACATAATGGATCGCGCGCTGTATGTGATGCGTGACCCGAGACGCAGTCATAGATCTCTATATAATAATATCATATGTATATATAATATACTATCATATGTATATATAATATACATCCTCCACCACAGTATTGTGAACCAAGTGCCCTGCCGGCGTATATCTGTACGGCAGCGAGGTGCAAGGTCTGGACTAACCTAGGCACTTAAGGCGGCTTAGTGCTGCTGCCTTGTGTCTATTTTTAATGATTAATCAATAATGTCTTTGAAAAACACGTGTGTGTTCTGCATTTCATTTGTACGAACAGACGATGTAATTTAGCACATTGCAGGCTACACTGGAGATCAAGTGTGTGGGCAAAATGTGCCGTGCAAAGCACGTCGTGCCAATATAAAAAATGGCACGGCGTGCAATGCACGTGTAGTGTGTAGGCCGCTTTAGAGTTGGTTTGTTTTTCATGTGGCCTATTCACTGTTTCTGAAAGAAAAAAAAAACTGTTCCACAGCAAAAACGTGGTGCTCAACCGTCCACTGTGCCATCTCATGACAAATTTGATACTATGGTCGACTTACAGAGGGCTAGCAGTGGACCCGACCCTCTCCCCCTACTAGTACTACACAGTTCAAATCCAATCATCCTTTTTCCGCCACCCTGTATGAAATTAATTAAAAATGACAGAGGAACTTACATAAAACCATTGACTACTGTGCTGGTGTCAATGCCCTTACCCTGTATCTGTCGGAAGATCTTTCTCTTGAAGTTCTCTCCTCGGCTGACTTTTCCTCTGCTCTCTTTTTTGCTTCCTCTCGTCTAGCTTCTTCTCTCCTTTCTTCCTTTCTTATTTGTTTTTCTCTTTCTAGCAGTTCTTTTTCCCTGGCCTTCTCTGACTTATCCTTTGTAGATTTCCTAGTTATGAAATTTCCAGGTACTAAATTTACAGTAGTTAAACAATAAATACATTTCACAGCTAATTATAGAAACTGTAACATTCTTATCTAACTAATAAGCTACACGTGTCTTCTTAACAACCACATCTTTTTTGACTTAAAAGTTGTTTTATTTATTTTTTATTACTTTAAAAAATTATGTTTTATAAAACATTATCTTATAAGCAAGTTTTCCCATAGGGAAGTACCTATTACCATAGGTGATAGTTATAACAACTCCTCCAGTAAACAACCATTTTCAAAACTACTAACTTAATATACTACTATTCAGTAGGAGAGTTCAAAACTTGATGCTGAGCATTAGGATGAAAAGATAATACTCTTAAAACTTGGCTCCACGGTAAGGGTATAGATGAATATGTAACTATTCCATCAATTTATAAATGAATAAAGTTTTCCTAGAGAGTATCCACATTTATTAACACTTGTAATAATATTATAAGAATAAAAAAACACTAAAAAAAAGGTGATAAGGGTGATTATTACAAAAACTTAATTTACTCCTTAATCAAACAATATTGTAAACGGCATCCATTATTAACATGGATGAGAGTTGATAACTATACACTTTTTGTAACTTATTTGTTTTAATTTTATCTAAAAATAAACCATACCATAATTTTATTAAACCCAATACAGAAAACACCATATCAATTGGTTTTGTAAGAAGTGTTTAAAGTTCTTACTGTGCAGAGCCAGAAGTCTCAGTCTTCACTGGGGACAGAGAGCCTACAGAAGACCTGTTCATCTTCTTCTCCCTGCTACTCTCCTTCACAGTGGACGACACAACCGCAACAGGTGTTTTATCTATCAAATAAAACAATACGTTATATGATTAAATTTTTTTGTAGGCAAAACTACAAAAGATATAAAAATGTATTCACTTTGGTTAATAGTTCTAATTGCCTAACTTAAACAGGAACTTCAGGTTTGTATAAAGAATTAAATTAAAAATTGTATTCCTATAATAGTTTTCCACTTTCAGCATGATTCTGAAAATATGAAACACCAAATATATTTTATGGTAAAAAAATAATATTGGCAAAAACTAAGAGTAACTAAAATACCCTGCCACAGCAAACCTGCAGACTAAGCGGAATTTCAGAATAATTAAAAACATCTTGATATAAAATAAAATAACAAAAACCTTTTTTGTTTGAAAAAGTTTTTTTTTTCACTTAAGAATTCAGTAAATTTCTACAAAGTTGTTTTACAGTTACCTGACTTGAGATCTCCATTGAGGTTTCTAGTAAAGGACCCTCCTCCTCCTCCCACCAAAGACGTCTGGTTCTGAGGCGTTGACTCAGCTTTGGGCTCTGCGGCCTTGGGTGGTGCCTGCAAGCAACAGGTTCCTAACATTTAATTCCAGTAATTAAAATATATTAAATTGTAGCTTTTGAGACCTTTTGTTATATAAAATTTCCAATATGAACTTCCAAATATGATAGAAACCGACAGAGCTCTTTGCCCATAATGCACAAATCATGGAGTTAACTGTGACGCTTAGCGCCACTATTTTATATAGTGCAACAGAACTAAATCGCTGGCCTTGCGATCGGTGCGCCTCCTTCGGTCTGCCGCTTGCCTTTTTTTGAGAAACGTCAAGGAGCTACGGAATCGAGATTTCCTCCGTCTTGTCTCTTGCCGCCTACCGTTGGAAAACCTGCCGAACGCCCTTTCTCATCTCTCCATGCCCTTCTTAAATCAGGATAAGTCGTTAATTATTAAGTAGTGTTAGGATTAAGATGACAGGCTAGTTTAATTATTTAAGGGGGAGCCGGCAGGCTTTCGCCCCATTCACAGAAATGTAAATTCCAAAATTATGATTACCTCGCTTAACGAGGTAATCATTCCTAGACATGCAATAGTCACCACGTTGAAGGTTTAAGTATTAAATCACCTTTTGAGTCCAAATTGGTTCAATAAGGAGTTAGGGAACGCAATTGACCTATTTTATCGTCATCTCAATTTTACAGTATTTAGCAGTTTAGTTTGGAATGTTAGCTATAGTTCCTTTTCTAGTTAAATTATAAGTAATCAAAGCTGGCTTGGCCTGCTTCTGGTCTGGGTAAAGATTTCCGCCCTCTGGTTCCCCCAACAACGTTTCCTATTAAATTGTCATTTTAAGATGGTAGTAGAGGATAGCACGTTCTTAATTGCACCATGCTAGGGTCCTCCAGGCCTTAGCACCCAAAACAGCCAATTACCTACACATTTCACTTAATTACAATGAATACATCACATCACCACAGAATTCATAACCTAGTTTCCGCCCCGGTTCCACCAGAAGGCTACATCTATTATTATATTATTAAAGTGATACAATCAAATTTTATGTAAATGGTTAAGGCCATTTACCAAATAAAAATATAGGCACATGGCATATCAAAATGAAGCTCAGAGTGTGTAGATTTGCCGAAAAGTATTGATATGGAATTACTCCCTAAGGGCTCTGCCCCACAGGCTGATTTCCAAAGGGCTACGCCTTGCATGTTTTGGAAGTTAACGTTATTCGATTAATTTAGTGAACAACAGCTGGTCAATGTAATTGACAATATAGTTTGTTTACATTTTTGTTTACTTATTTTATTATTTACTTTTATGTTCTTTAAAGAGGTGCGGTGAATGGAAAGTGAAACTATTTGTAGCTGTTTGATACACGTGAGTGATTAAAGGTGATCGAAACACGATGAATATGAGATTAACAAACCATGTATATTGTTCGTTCCAAGAGGTTGTCACCGATATTTAACAGGTTGCCATTTCATTGAAAAGTATTAAAGTATTCAAGACGTCGTGGAAGAGAGCGGCGAGTTCAGGTACAACCGTACCCACCTCGGCCACCTCAGGACGTAAGGTATGAAGGTTCTACTGCTTTTAACATCCTTTGAGATGACAATTTCTCGAACTTGGGCCCTTTGAATGAAATATAAAGTCAAAGTTGATTAAATTAACTTAATGGTGGCTTCTGTACACCCGTGAATTCGCGGGTAGAACCTCTAATAACTAACCTCTAGTAACTAATAATTTAACATGACAAACACTGTCAAATGCTTTAATCCAAAAGCGAACTTATAACATAATTGGTCTTATGGATGTTTTTAAACACATTTTCAATAAATGACATAGAGCTGTAACTGTAGATACATTCCTCATAGTACCCTTTTTAAAGATTTAGAGAGTGAGCTCATCATCATCGTCATTTGCTGTTACGGAAACGTCATCGTCGTCGTCCGAAATTGCGGCAAAATCATGAACTTTTCCTGTAGACACCATCGTGTTCTCCCGTGGTCACGGAAATGTCACCTTCGTCTTCCACTGACCGTAAATGTCATCGTCAGTGGCAGAAACATGAACGATTCGCGCGACTGTGTAGGCGTCATCATCGTCTCCCGCGGTCACGGAAACGTTGTTGTCGTCTCCCGGGTTCGCAGCAATAGCGGTAATTTTGCGATCGCGGGGGCAAGACGGGTATCGGTATTGACTTTTGACAATCAATTCTCGATAATGATACCAACGGCCAAGTATCGGTGGCATCAAGAATTGAAATATCCCTATTCAATACTATAATTTACCTAATAAAGTGATTAAAATTACTTAAATTACAGTATGTTTTTTTTGCAATGGCAAGTCTCCATTAATTAAGGAACTTTTGCAATCAAGACATAAGATTAAGATTAAGACATAACCTCAAACTCTACAAACGGAGCTGGCAGTTTACCATAGTTTCTAGAAATATCGCAGATTAGCTGAGAAAAGGATACGTAATGTAGAGTAAGAGGTTAGTTCATTAGCTGCACTCTGCACTGTGATTGGTTCAAAATGACATCATCTGTATTTCATGCAGTGTTGCTGCTTTCATTTCCAAACGAGTCACTCAATATTAACGTAACTACCAACTTACTTTTCAACTGTTGAATTTCAAAAATACCAAATCCTGTTGTTGGTTGAGTTGAGTGTTGACGATTACCTAAACTCTCAACCATTTTAAAAATAGGGCCCCTGACCCCAACACATAAAAAAGGCGACCAACAAACAACTACAAATTACTTATCAGTGGCTTTTGAGACCAGGTAGAAAAATCAGTGATTGCAATGAACAGTGGACTCATGAACGTCAGCTGGAGCTCACCTTGGGGTCGCTGACCTGATGGAAGTCTGCCTCTCGCATGATGTAGGGCGCACGGGCCTTCAACATGCCCCCGTAGCTCTGAGCCAAGGTGAACAGGTCCTGTCTATTAACCTTCTCATCCTCCTTGATCTTATCAATCTTCTTCTCGATGCATATTGAGAGCTTGGAAAGTACGGGGAAGTGCGGCAGGATATTTGTCAAGATTATCAAAGAGTTTCGAATCTGTACATAATCTTTCGACTCCAGACATACAACTATGGCCTGCAGACAAATTTCAAAACACAAAAGCTTGATTAGCAAAGAAGTATCATTTAAAATTTGTTGTTCGGATATGAAGGAGCTAAAGTATATTAGGCCTACATAATTACAGAGTATAAACTATTGATAGCATAAATAGCCTATTATATGATTAGTAACAGGGGTCCAAGCATTGCTCGTGGTGTTAACTTTTTAGGAGACATTAACAAAATAAACATAGGCCTACAAAACATTTACAATTGCCGTAATTTTATCAAGTACAGTGCAAAATATGTAAAAATATATATATATATATAAAATCAAATTTTTTTTCATGCTCTTGTATTGGTGTTATTTGTACAACATTTTGTGCACGACCCTGTCCTCTCAAGTAAATGAAAACTATTGATGTGTCGATTCCAAAAATATTCGATTCCGATTCCATTATGTTAAAAACATTGTCGTGTAGACATCGTCATTGTCTCTCATGGTCACAGCAAAACCCTGAAAAACCCATGTGGTAACAAAAAAGCATTGTCTCCTGCAATCGCGGGAAAACTCACATCATATTGCCGCAACCATTTAGACATTGTCATTGTCTCCTGCGCTCACTACAAAACCCCGAATAACCCGCGTGGTAACGGAACATCATTGTCTTCCTTTATCACAACAAAATTCTGTGTAACCAGAACTTTTAAAATGATTCCACCTCTTTCAGTGATAAAGGAAGCTTATTAATATAATTTGAGACCCATATAAAAGTACTTTTTTAAGCAGCAGATTAATTTATGGGGTACTGTAACACAGAGCTCATGGGCTGTATTGGTAGTTATAGTTCGGCCGCTTAGAAAGCGACCTCCTCCAGCATTGGTTTAGCATTAGCGCACAGGTTGTTTCTAAGCGGCCGAACTATAGTTACTTTTTCTTAAAAAATAGCCATTTTTTTTACAAAGATTGAAGCTTGTTGAATATACAGAATGAATAAAAAGTCAAGACCCCCACACCTAATATTTTTTTAAGTATGTATACGGAGATATACTTTTGGTGGTTGTGCAATCTTAGCAGGAAGTTTCATTTTATGACTTTGAAAATTTTGTGTCCCCCAAAAATAAATTTATTTTTGGGGAAAACTCAAAATTTTTAAATGTAAACCCCCCTTCAAGTGACTCCTCATTTAGAAGTGTTCACTTAACTTAAAACAAGAGTTTGCAATCTCTTCTCTATCCAAAATGGTACCCCCTCAAAAGTTTAATGACGTCTACTCTGACATTAATTTTCTTGTGTAAAAAAAGTAATTTTCCCTTCCATCTAATTTGTTCCTAAGTAAATATTACTTATGATTTATTGTGATTTATCTCTAAGGTGGTCATGTAGCCTTGGCAGGAAGTATCATGTTATGTACTGGTATTTCCAATATCTATCATATTACAATTTTCAACAACGTTATGACCTAATATTATTATAATTATTTGTGAGTATAGACTTTATTAGTAACCTTAAATTTTAAAATAAGACAATTTGTGATTTGTACCTATAGATACCATAACGTATTGAAGGTACAGTATGTTGTCGAATCAAATCTTGCTTCAAAATATAACAGTCCTCACATGAAGTAAGTTACAGTTTTAAAATTAAAAAGTTTTTTAAATGTGTACAACTGTTGAATGAGTAGAGAGAAAAATTGTGTTTAGATAAGTGTTTTAAGGGGGAAAACCAAAAAACCAAAAACCGACAACCAATAAAAAAACAACAACAACAACAAACTGATAAAATCTGCAACCGACCCTTTATGGTTTTGAAAATTTAGAACTAATTAACTTTCACATATTATTTATTAACCCTCATTCATAGACATACCTTAGTGATCTTGTAGTGCCACTTGTGACAGACGTGGCGATAGTTCTCATAGCCAACATGGTCGTTGTTCTCAGAACACTGGTTACTTACACGGAACTTGGTGACAAAGCCTGGGTAGCTGGCACATTCCTGCACAACACAAACACACGACGATTAGAAGAGAGGATCAGATATTGGACATAATGTGTCATATAGAGACTGATTGTTCTTTATGCAATTTGGTGACAGAGCCTGGGGAGCTGCCACATTCTTGAACAACACAAATACATTTATATCTACTTTGTTTATATATTGATAAAGGTTTTGCATTTTGTTTACACAACTGACTGAATTGAACCAAAGAGAATATTGTAAAACTTACTCGTAGAGTTGTGTTTTGTTTCTATAATCAATGATGGTAGCTGTTTTCTTTCTACAGTATAGATTTAATGTCTATGCCCTCTTTTCTAAGCTCAAGTAAAGCTAGTTAAGGATAAATAAGTACATAACAGATTGAGTGAAACAGTATTCTGATACAAACCTCTTCAAAGATTTCTTTTTTCGAATGCCACCTCATAACAGTTTCAAGCATTGCACACAAGAAACGTCCGTAGCGGTTAGCCTCATTCTCTGTACATGAGGTCACTGAGTAGGTGATATCGCAAAACAACTGCAAAAAATAATATGAAACATAAAATGATTTGTTGTAAAATGAATTGTAAAACATACTTTACATTTGAAATGTCAGTTTACTGCTGATTCTAATATCTGTTTGTACAGGGAACTGCTGTTCACAGTTGTTGGACTAGAGCAAGAGATTGTACTACGTGTTTAAGTTTCCCTTCCCAATAAGACACTGGACTTCTCAACAACTCATCTTGTGCTTATTACTTTTATGTTTTAGTAGGGACGTGTCGATTCTAGATACAACCAATACTTGTCCGTTCGTATCGATCGTAAAAAGTCAATTCTGACACCAATACCATAGATGTCTGCGAGTAATTTTATCTAATTAGCCAGGGTAGTATACTGGTCGGACCCAGAGAGCCATTTTCAAAGTAAGGCAAAATAAAAATAAATATCACCATTTACACATATAACTTAAATGTTTTGATTCCACTCAACACAATACTTACTCTATCATAGCAGAGGAGTGTGGAGAAGTTAGCTGTTTGTAAGTTGTGCAAAATGTGCACAAACTTCGCACAATACAGTGAATCTACAGTGGTGAAGATACATCGAGGAAACAAGCACAACTGCAGCAGCTGTGTGATGGTCTCATTCTTGGCAGATTTGGCACTACGGGACAGGAACCAACTGTCCTTCTCCTGTACAACATGTGTTCCATATCAATGAGGGAAACAGTAGAAAAAGTAACATAACATTTGACCACAACTGCAGCAGCTGTGTGATGGTCTCATTCTTGGCAGATTTGGCACTACGGGACAGGAACCAGCTGTCCTTCTCCTGTACAACATGTGTTCCATATCAATGAGGGAAACAGTAGTAAAAGTAACATAACATTTGAGCACAACTGCAGCAGCTGTGTGATGGTCTCATTCTTGGCAGATTTGGCACTACGGAACAGGAACCAACTGTCCTCCTCCTGTACAACATGTGTTCCATATCAATGAGGGAAACAGTAGTAAAAGTAACATAACATTTGACCACAATTGCATCAGCTAGGTAATGGTCTCCAAAGGTCTAACCTTGAGCCTGGTTCAAAATCAACAGAAAACATCTACAAGAACAGAAACAATGCATCAATTAAAATCACGAGAGAGGGATTTATCTTATACAATGCATGATGGTGACAAATTTGATCAAACATAATATGTTGTAGGGATGGACGGGTCCCGAAATTTCGGGAATTTTTCAGGAAAAAAATATTCCCGATTATCGGGACGGGATTTCATTTGACTCAGGAATTTTTCGGGACGGGATTTGGTCCGATCGTCGGCGATTTTTCCGCTTCGCGAGTGCCGATAACGCCGTTATTGCGAGCGATAGGTCCGCGAACGCAGGAGACGAAGTCATACCGACGATCGCGCCGTGACCGCGAGTCATACCGACAATCGCGCTGTGACCGCGAGTCATGACGACGATCGCGCCGTGACCGCGGAGTCATGCTGACCATCGCGCCGTGACCGCGAGTCATACCGACGATCGCGCCGTGACCGCGAGTTATGACGACGATCGCGCCGTGACCGCGAGTTATGATGACGATCGCGCCGTGACCGCGGAGTCATGCTGACCATCGAGCCGTGACCGCGGAGTCATGCTGACCATCGAGCCGTGATCGCGAGTCATACCGACGATAACCCCGTGACCGCGGAGTCATACTGACGATAACCCCGTAACCGAGGAGTCATACCGACGATAACCCCGTGACCGCGGAGTCATACTGACGATAACCCCGTGACCGAGGAGTCATACCGACGATAACCCCGTGACCGCAGAGTCATACCGACGATCGCGCCGTGACCGCGAGTCATGACAACGATCGCGCTGTGACTGTGAGTCATGACGACGATCGCGCCGTGACCTTGAGTCATACAGACGATCACCCCGTGACCCGCGAGTCACAAGTTACTATAGGTACCTGTAAATTGTTACCAATTTTTTGGCTTTTATAGATCAGTGCCACAAATGGTAAAAATTGATTTTGTATGTCTTTTTTGGTAACTACAATACAGTACTTTCTTTTTATGCACAGAAAAAAATCCCGTCCCGTCCCGTCCCAAAAATTGGGAAGGAAATAAAAATCTCGTCCCGAACTAAAAATTCAATCCCGTCCATCCCTAATATGTTGGGCACACCAAAATAAGATGCATCATTCTCTAAAGCCCCCACACACTACCAGACCAGACCGTCTGGTCGGGCATCTAGCACTTGTCTTATTGTGTGTGGGGCTGTCTGCAGACTGGTTTTCTCGGACCAGACTGTCTGCGTGTCTGATGGTTCAACCCTCAGACCACAGACGGTCTGAGGTTCCCCCACCACTATTTTTGTCTGGTTTGTGAGTGTGTAGCAGACGGCCGACCGTCGCAACAGTCTTCATCCATTTGTTGGAGTTCTCACCACGGTGTCTCAATTACGAATGTTGGAATGTCTGGTCTGGTAGTGTGTGGGGGGCTTAAGAGATTCAACGAACATAATGCCACAAAAAATAACCCAAGGTTAATTCACGTACAGATCTTCAGAGTAAATTGGATCACAAAATTGATTTTGAAAAAAAAATCACTTAAAATTAAGTTAAGTAAAAAAGCTTATTGTCGGGGCCACGTAAGTTTGAAGTTGGTGGCAGCCAATCACAAGACAAGACTAGTGCTTCGTTGCCACATCGCCCGTTGACAACACTTATTAAAACCACTAAGCAATATTTTCAAATCAGCTGGTATTTTTAGATTTGGCAACACCACATGGTTCTCATTGGTTCATTCAAAACCATATGGTAAATAGGCTCCTCCCTCAACTGCAAACTTATGTGGTCCCGACAATAGGTATGGGAGGAATAATTATTTATGTAAAAACAAATAAAAGGTAAAGGCAATATAACCATGTAAATCAAAGAAAGGAATTTTCTGGCAAAATCACCTCTCAGCTGTTAATTGATTTAGATAATGACATTGTGACGTCACTCTCCTGTGTTCCTCAGTAGGCCTATAAATGTTCTCTAGTCAAGATATATGTTGGGGATTAATTGTAATTCTTGAAAAAATGTGTGTTGTGTAGATGTTTAGTTATAGTCAACCAAAAAAATACAAACTTACACATTTTAAGTATAAAGAAGCAATTTAGTTTTAAAAAATCCTCAAACAATGTATAACTGAAATATAAAATCAAATTGAGTGTAAAAAATCAAACCTTCGATGTTAGCTCACCTGTTTCAGTCGAGCCATCACTCTGTCAACATGTTCTTGTTGTTTCTTTTTTTCGTCTTGCAGCTTTTCTATCAGAGCGCTATACCTCTCAATTTCTTTCTTCTGTTTGTTGGGGGGCTAAAGATTACAAAAGTCATTAAGTTATTGTTTGGCCTATGTAATATACTAGTGATGGGTTGGTTGTTAAAGTCAGTTGTCACATTGTCAGATTTACCAGTTTTAACAAAAAAGTTTAACCGAGGATTGATATAAAAACTCAGTTTCGGTTAATTGTAGTGCAATAAATTTGCCGTGATCATGGTAGTTGGTTGGTGGCACATGAAAGGTTTATCAGATGTTTCTTTACGACTTTCATTAATTTATTACTATGGATGCAACATCAAACCAATTAATATTTTATCATGACAATAATCATTTTGTCGTGCAGTCAAGTACCCAAGTAGAACACATGATCATCCTAACTATCCTGCTTAGAGTAAATTGTAGGTAAATAGACAAACTCACCAGATCCTTGGAGGTCATGACGCCGGTTTGTGTTGCCTTGATCTTGGTTATCTCACGGTCATAGGCTTGCACTGGCACGAACAGGTCGTACATGGTGAGGGACCAGAAAGTGACCAGGAACTGAGGGCTGATGTCCTCCCATACCTACAACATCATCAATGACAAGATAATTCCACACAGCTGGTACATTATTTCCAAGTAACACAATAACTGGGTGGTTTTTTATCTTATTATAGGCTGTACCGAACCAAATTTGCACCGATTAGAACCGCTAATTAGGCCAAGTATTATGGCTGTAATTAGGCCAGACCGTACCGTATCTTTTCAGACTGTTTTGCTACACCACAGACCATATACAAAAAGTTTTGATACATAAGTTAAGTTTGCAATTACTCTGTGACTGCTGTTGTTAATTTCCAGGAACCACAATCATAAACGAGGACAGACTCAATATTTGAGCTATAGATTCTGAGCTTTGTTTCTCTTCTTTTATTCATGGACCTAAGCTGAGCGAATGTTCCTTTTCCTTCACTTAGCGACATGTTCCTAACATGCCAGCCACTGAACAGTGCAAGTAATAATGTACGACCATGACAAACAAGTGCAGAAATCATAGTTCCCTAACCAATACCATAGAGATTGTTGATGTTGAGGTACATAAAATACTTCATAAACTAAGAATTCTGCAACCATGACAAGAAATTAATACATTTTATAGTCTGTGCTTTAATCCTACAGTAAAATAGCCTACTACAGTGGAGTCCCAATAGTCTGAACTTTGGTAATGAATAATCTGCTTAATCCGATACAAAAAATTTTGTTTGTTATTTTTTATTAATTTTTTTTACCCAGTTTGTGACTTATTGGGGAAAGTCGAAACTACTAGCACCGTCGCGTGAGAAAATTAATGCAGCTTATTGTAGACACAAACAGTGATGTCCCAGTACGTGCTGTCACCCATTTGGAAAAGCCAAAACTGCTACCACTGTCGTGTAACGACAGTTAGTTGTACCTCGTTGAAGTATTCTGTAGCGGCCGGGCGTGATAGACTTGTTGTACATTAAATTTTAGTAACATATTTAATTTTTGTCCTAGGTTCTGATCCCGTCAAATCATCAATGGATTTGATCGAAGTGATAATGCCGCAACCCCTAGTTTTAGCCTAAAGTAATGTGAAAAACAATAAAAAAAATTTTATCAAAAATATTTGGTAATCTGAAATGGGTCCGGTCCCAACCATTTGGGACCATTGAGACTCAACTGTTTAATGTATTAGCCTACCATTAATATATTTAAAATAATAAAGAAAATCAAGGAAAAATAGAAGACATCAACACAGCGTTGCCAGATGTAATCTTCACAACAATTTTAATTTAAGGTTGTCCTCAGCTCTTTTAAAGAGATAGTATACATCTTTAAAGGATTTTTTTGTTAATCTGTAATGCAATTAATTGGGATTAATTAATTAATTCTACTGCTGTTGTCCATAATATTAAATATAAATATTATAAATATAAATATTAAATATAAATTTAGTCAAAGTTAACATTCGGTTTAGATTGTGTCTTCATTCATCAGTCATAATTGATAATAAATTCAATAACAGTAGTTTAGTCAACGAGGAATGGATTTCAATACCTTTGGAGGGTGTAGAGGCCTCACACTATCTGCTACAGGACCCATAACTTCTGCGACCGCCTCACAATACTTAGCTGTCTTTGTTGCCGTGGACTTCTTACTGTTGGGGTCTGCCTTGCGTAACTGCTCAAACTTTTGCTGTTAACCAAGTCAAATAGTATATTTAATATGTTGTCCAATTAATATTTGATGCTGTACATTACCAATTTATGTAAAGTTAACCAATAAGGAAAAATCACAATGAAGAAGACATATAATAGGCCAAAAGAAACTCGTGATACAGAGAGCAGAAGTAGGGAATGCACAGGAAAGTGATTGAAGCAAAAATATAGGTTAGCTGGAGAAATGAAGGGTTTTAATTATTATTATTATTTTATGGCCAACATTGGACCACAATGGTTAGATTCTTTTTAAATTCTGTCCCTTCTACTTGTCCGCCCAATACTTCTTCATTCTTTCCGACCGTTGTTTTCTTTCTTCTTCCGAAACCACTCTTCCTTGTCTCTGATTGTTTGGCAGGATGATATTTTTGTCTTTGAGTACTGCAAGCGCCTCTGACTTATTTTCCAAATCTTCTATTGATATTTTCAACCTTCTCATGTCCTCCTTAATTTCTGTAATCCACCTAAAGTCACTCTTGCTATTCCACAACTTGTCAATTATTTTCTTGCTTATTCTATTTTCCGGTGTCCTTAAAAGATGTCCAATGAATGAAATTCTTTTCTTTTTAATTATACTTGTCAATGGCTCTATTTCCTTATATACAGTTTTATTTGAGGCCAGTCTCCAAACTCCATCTTTTGATATTTTTTGTTTATACATGTTCTGATGATTCTTCTTTCTATTTTTAGTATTTTATCTATTGCTACAGTGTTTTAAATATAGTTTCACTTGCATATGTTATTTGTGGAAGTATAACTGCTTTGTAGTGTTTCAATTTTGTTGATATTGATAGGCATTTTTTGTTGTATGTGTTTTTAGTAATATGTTGCATTCTGATCAACTTATTAATTATATTTTTCCATGATGGATTTTCTTTAAGATTGTATGTTATAACTTCACCTAAGTACGGTATTTGAAAATTTCCACAATTTTGATGCAATGTTCTCCAATTTTGATTTTGTTAGCCAATGGTGGTTTTGTTATCATTATTTCAGTTTTCCCAAAAGAAATTTTTAGACCTATGCTCTGGGCTATTTCCTGAAGTGATTTTATTTGTTGCTTGGTTTCTTGGATGTTATTAGCTAGAAGAGCCAGATCGTCAGCAAATCCTAAACAGTTTAACTTTATGTCATCTTTCTTTGTTCCAACAGTAATATTTTTTGGGTTTGTTTTAAGCCATTCCCTCATAATGTATTCAAGTGCAGAGTTAAAAAGAAGTGGTGAAAGGCCATCTCCCTGTCTCAAACCAGTTTTGACCAGGAAAGGTTATGATATTTCTCCTCTAAATTTAATTTTGTTGAAGGTATTTGTCAAGGTAAGTTCTATAAGTTATATTAATTTTGGGTGGAGTCCGAAATGTCTGAGAATCTTTAACAATGATGGTCTATGGATGGAATCCAAAGCTTTCTTAAAATCTACAAATGTTATTGAAATAAGTTTGTTTCGTTTTCTGTAGTAATCCATAATCAATTTCAGCGTAATTATTTGTTCTGCACAGCTCCTCCAAGGTCTGAAGCCTCCTTGGTATTCTCCTAGTTCATTATCAAGTTGTTCCTTAATCCTATTGTATAAAATTTTTGAAAAAATCTTATATGTGCAATCCAAAAGTGAAATTCCTCTATAGTTATCCGGGTTGCTCTGATCTCCTTTCTTGTGAAGTGGATTGATTACGGCTGTGGTCCAATGCTCTGGGAATTTCTCGGTTATCCAGATTTTTTGTAATATCATGTAGAGATGTTTTTGTTGATTTGCCCGTATACTTCCACATTTCCGCATAAATTTGATCTTTACCAGATGCTTTATACTTTTTCATATCTTTTGATCTTCACCAGTTGCTTTATAATTTTTCATATCTTTAATGGAAGGGTTTTAATATAAGAGTAAAACAACTTTTCCCTAGGGGGTATGAGTGGAAGATCTCAATAAGAAGAGCAGTAAAGGCCTCTTGTGAGGGAGAGAAGCGAGATTATGATGGATTTGACATGTGTAAAGAATGTGATGAGAGAATTTCTAGGAAAATGGAGTCGACAATGATAATGAAAAGATGTCATAGTGGGAAAAGATGGATTGAAGTGAAGGTGAAAGTGTAGAAGAAGAGGAGTGAGACAGACAATGATGAGTGAAGAGGAGTTGTGAACCAAAGCAGAAGAGGGCATTTTTTATGTTATTAAAATGTATTAGTCAATGAGCCGAAAATTCTGCTGATCATAGTAAAATACCCCCGCCACAGCAAACCTGCAGACTAAGCAAATTTCCATATAGGTACCTGGCTGTATTTATATTCTCTTCAAACTGTCAGATTTATTTCCTATCTAAATAACCTTAATATTAATGAGTTCTTAGGTTTGCTGCTACAGAGAAGGTAATGGGATGTGATTTTTTGTATTGAAATATTGATAGCTTAGTATGAAATAAACCAAATTGCCAAATTTAATTGAAATATATCCATAAAAAAATCAAACTACAACAGTTTATTTACCCTCCATAGAAATAACACTGGTATTTTAAATTTACATTTTTTTAATTATTTCTTTAACCGTCAATCATACAACAATACTTAAACATACAAAATTATTTTTTCAACCCTGGAAACCATTTGTAATTTCCTTTGCAAACAATTCTTGGATTTTAAGAATATTCCATTAGTTTGATACTCACATTGATCGAATGGGTGAACATGGGTCTGGCCAAAAAGAAGGCGACGTCCATGCGGATATGATAGTCTTGCAACATGGAGTGTATGGAGGGCAACTTGGTAACATACTCCTCCATGGATAGCATGGTACCCAGGAATGTTCCAAACTGCACAAGGGTGTCTTGACACTGTAACAACATTCATGATATTCAATGCCTTATGAGAGAAGAATGGTCTGCAAGGGGATAGGAATGGGACGTTCATGAGTTATTCATGTTTAACCATAAAAAATAAATAAATGTAATATTTTTAACTTGTCCAGAATCTTCTGTCAATAATAATTTATGTCTTCGAGACTACAGTTTTGGATTCATAGAGCATTAACGGCCAATGAAAATTCCCTTATTAAATACCTAACATTTATACAGACTATTTAATTGCCTTAACAATAATTTACTGCTGCAAATCTGTTACTAATGATTTTTTTGTAAATTATCTAAATGAACAAGCACATATCTTAGAAATACATGTGAAAGAACAGAAAGATCTCAAGAAAAGAGTTCAAGATTGTTGATGACACACATACTTCCTTGAAATTTCTCTCAAGGCCAAAGCTATAGTTTTTAAGATCAAGTAGAACTGACAAGAGATTATAGAACATTAAACATTATAACTTAAGAAACATCGTGGCCTCCGTCCCCTTAAGAGTGCAGCATTCTTGTTATTTCTATCTTTAAAAATATCCTTTCATGTCCATTAGTATCTAAGCAATTGAAGAAGTGCCTAACCAGGGAGACCTTTTTTTCATCTCTGACTTTTTACCTGATCGTAAAGTTTTCCAACAAATTTGAGATGGCTCTTGTCTGTCTCCCGGTAGATGATGGAGTACCTCTGCTGACCCATGAGCAGACACAGAGCCACTGCCAGGTTGTCCTCTACCAGTGCCTCCTTGAGTCTTAGTGAGGACCTCTTGGTGTTGCGCACTTGGGAGAAGTATCCTGCCTGCAATAACACATCAGTGAGCTCAACTGTTATTTTCATGAACTTTTGTGAAAAAAGTAAACAAAGTGTCTAGCGTTCCCTAAAAATAAAATTCAAGGACAATTCTAGGTTTTCTAGGTCCAAAATTAAAAATTTTATGAACTTAGTTCTTTACACCAGCTAGTACATCAAACCTCTTCATATCAGCAAATCACATGATAGTCTATCACTATCGCAGCCACATCGATAATCATATCTTTTGATAATGGCAAAATTTGTAATTTCCTGCAAGTGTGTAAACATCCGCGATGATATCCTGCATCGTTATTCCCGTGACCTCCGCAAAATCTGCGTACTATCAGCCCCTGAAGTTTGTGACAACCCCTTGTGAACACCATGTAGAAGTACACTTATTATTATTGTCAGTTATTTTAGACAGTGAATATATTCAAAATGATGGTAGTATGGAGTATATTTTTATGACACTTTACCTCGCCTTTGAGTAGGTCTCCTCCAAAAAATGCCTCCAGCTGATCACTGCTCATCTCCTCAGCAGCCTCAATGCCAGCCATCTTCAGCACCACCTCATTAAGAATCAGCATGTCCAGGCTAGGTAACAACAAACAATACTCAGCAGAAGGTAATAATGTAACTAATTGTTAAATATATACAATATAAATATACTAACATAATGTAACATAATGAAGATATTCTAACATAATAAAAATGTAAAAATAGAAAAAAAATTGATTAATGAACAAGTAAATATTGACTTTAGTTGTACTTATGGAAATGAATAGTTGAGGTTCATACCTTAATTAATCCGTCAAAGTGATCATGTCACCGATGAAAGGCAACCGGTTTCTACCCATCAAAGGGGTCATCATCAGGCGAGGAATTACTCGAGGTTGTCAAAAAGTCAATAAAGTGAAAATGAAGAACAGTAACACTTGAGTCCTTGGAGCTTAGACGTTTAACATCGTCGAACAATTCAAAAAATACAAAGAATATTCACGTATTTTATATATATAGATTTCTAATCTCACATTAAACTAGTGATATTTAAGTTACAATCACTATGGTGTTAAAAAAATATAATTTGAGAAGGTATATAACTCTTCAGCGGCTGTTTGAAACTAACGATATTAACATTGCTCTTATGGCGGCAAATCCTAGATGGCCGATAGCTTCCATGGACTCCCTTGGAGAACAATTCAAAACTACAAAAAACATTTCTAATGTCACAGTCAGTGGCGTATCCAGGGAGGGGGCCCAAGGGGGCCGGGCCCCCCCCGAAATTTTTTTTTTTTTTTTTAGTTACCCTGTACACACGGCACACGGGAGCGTTGCAACGCGCGTTCTAGAAACAGTCAAATGAGTGCGTACACACTACACAATACGTGTTGTTATTATATAAAATGCCGGATTACTGGAATGTTATCAATAAAAATACTTAAAAATGCAATTAAAACACGTCTCCGAAGATCGCGCGATCGGAAACCGCTATTGCCGCGATCGGGCATGACGACGATGATGTTTCCGTAATCGAGGGGAAACGATGATAACGTGTACGGCCACGAAAGATGATCATGATTTTGCCACGATCGTTCATGACGACGATGACGTGTGACCGCAGGAGACGATGATAACGTGTACACGTCCGCGGGAGATGTTCGTGATTTTGACGCGATCGCGCATGACGACGATGACGTTTCCGTGACCGCGGGAGTAGACAATGATGTTTACACGGCCGCGGGAGATGATACAATATTTTGCCACGACCGCGGAAGACAACGATAATGTCTACATGACCGCGAGAGATGTTCATGATTTTGCCACGATCACGCAAGACGACGATGACGTTTCCGTAACCGCGGGAGGCGATGATAACGTCTATACGTCCGCGGGAGATGTTCATGATATTGCCGCGATCACGCAAGACGACGATGACGTTTTCATGACCGCGGGAGAGAATGATGATATCTACACGGCCGCGGGAGATAATCAGAATTTTGCCACGACCGCGGAAGACCTCCCATCAAAAGACGCCGGATTACTGGAGTGCCGGAGTGGTACAGTGCCGATTATATTGGGTCTTCTGTACAATGTTTTATAATTTAAAAAATGACGGCAGCTGGTACATATAGTGTCTACTTCAGTATCCAAGAGTCATTGCGTGTACATTACATATTTTTGGTCGAGTTTTCGATCACTGGAAGACCACTAGTATGCTTTATTCTATAAGTTTAGTGTAGTTTTATTAGCTTGGTTTATTTTATTAAAATTACGTCACGCAGATTAATAGTAGTTTAGGCAACTTGTTAAGATTTCAGAACAGTAAAAAACTAATTTTTAGTAGTAATACACCAATATTATTCTCTACTTTAGAGCCTCCAGAGGTGTTGTAAACTGTAATTTAGCACCATAAAATACCAAAATTTTTCCCGGGGGGGGACCCCCGGACCCCACTTCAGTCCTGGGGGGGATTCCATGCCCCCCAGACCCCCCGGATTGGGCCCCCCCCAAAGCAAAATCCTGGCTACGCCACTGGTCACAGTATACTAGATATTTAAATTAGAATCACTTTGGTGTTTGAAAAATATTTTTTTACAGTAAATAACTCTTCAGCAACAGTTTGAAATTATCGAAAATGGCCGCTAGCCTCCAAGGACTCTTAAACACATTTTTACAAAAAACATGTGTGGCCAAAAATCTACTGTGCAGCGGACAGTATGCATACATTGAGTTACAAGTCCAGATTGTCGTCACCGCCATCTTGTCCACCTGTCATCTAGTAATGTGCGTATCGATAAAGATATCGATACAAGGACCACAAAATATCGATATTTTGTATCGATAGCCAATATCGTATCGAATATCGTATTGTTTATTTATTAATATAGCCTAAATCTTATTTTTATGGTAAGAAATTTGTCTTCCCATCTTCCTCCCCTCAAAAGTAGTAGTGAAAATTTGATATTTTACCCAAGCATCTTCAAAAACACTGGTAAAACATGTATTTTGATTTTCAGCTATGTTTTGCAAATAACCTCAAAACTAGGGCCACCATGGAAGTGGGGACCCTCATTATCCATATTATACTATTTAATGTGTAAGTGGCATACCCACCATCATTATTAGTACTTTTTGGTTCAATTAATTATCCCTGTGTAAAAACTGTACTGTTCTTAGTTTTGTATTTATTGACTTTTTGACAACCTTTTTGGAGTAATTTTACGTCCATTCTTCGCCTGATGATGACCCCTTTGATGGGTTGAAACCGGTTGCCTTTCATCGGTGACATGATCACATTGACGGATTAAGGTATTTTAAACTCTAGTATTAATTTATATTGTGATCATTAGACAAAAACATAAAAAATGAAGTTATAGAAATGTATTGGCTGGTACTTCCAATGTATATAAGTTAGATATAACATTTGAATTACATTTTTACCCCATAAAACCCTGTTTCCATAGACTGATCAAGCTGGTTTGCAAACTCGTACAAATAAATTTAGGTTTACTTTTTGTAAGTACCAAATTTGGTCAAAATCGGATAATACATGCTCAAGTTACCGTGCTAAAGGACACACACAAATTCATTACATAAATATATATATTTGAATGGATGGTGTTTTTGGCCTCTGGGGGCATCAAAACGAAAAAGTAAATCTGTCCCGAGTTCAGGGCTTACCATGAGACCGACGGCAATAGCTTATTTATGGGAAATTCACAATTTATTTTTTTTTGTTCAGGGAAACCCAAGACGGATGTTTTCACCCAAAACTCAGACTAAAACAATACTTTCTACATATAGGTAGTATGTATAGGGGAAAAAGTAGAAAAAACTACAATATTACCAACCTTCTCTCCATTTTGAGCTGGTTCGCCAGGTACTGCATAAGTCCAGTCAATTCTATGTTATACTTCTTGAAGATGTAGCCACAAAACTGGGCTAAACTCTGTAGCCAAAGTGAGATGGAAGTTCCATCGTGTTTGATCCTGTAAAAACCCCAATTTAAATATCAGTTGCTTTAGAATTTAAAATTAATCAAAAACTTAATAATGGTTGGCAAGAAAGAACTGATTCTAAACTTCCAAGACATTGAGGAAACAAAAATAATATGCTATGGAAAAAGAAGCTCTTGATAAGACCCCACAAGGTAAAAGAAGAGGAAAATCAAGGAAAGTTGGAAGAGGCTAGATGGATAAAAAGAAGTTGGGAAGTGAGGAGAATTGCTGCTGAAATGAAAGTTTTGAAGCCCTATTGTTCAATGGAGTTTGCTATCCAACATTAGAAAATTGCTTAACTTAGTTTAACATGCAGATTTATGAAAACAATTTATTATTGATTTTCAGTATTAAAAATTTATAAACTCTAAATCTAAATGCGTGAAGTGTTTCTTAACTCTGAAAATTTAGGTAAGAGAGTATTATTGCACACTGCCTAACCCTTATCTTAAAGGTGAACATTAGAACAGAATTAATTTGTATTGTGGGTCTATTAAAATAGTTGGGTACGGTACCAGTTATGTTTACAATTAGAAAACCACTCAATGGTTTTTGAGGTACATTTTATCTGAAGAATAGAACAATTTCCTGAACTCAGGTTTATTGATAGTTGTTTCCTCATGTTTAATTTTACTTCAAATATGATTGAACTGCAATACTGTTCCAATCTATCAAATTTATTTAGCTAATCAGATTCAGATGTTTTCATAAATTTGATAATTTTGAATTGTAACCCTTTGTTGGTGTTTTTGATTTCAAAACATGATTGGTGACACAGAGGGTTTTTTCCTGGGTGTTAAAACATTAGACAAACACGGTTTTTTATACATATAATAATACACAAATGTATTACTTCATGCAATAAAAACTCCATTTTACATACTTATAAAATACATAGCAAACATAAACAACAAGATCAGTGACACACAGAGTTTTTTTCCGGGCGTTGAAACATAGACAAACAATGTTTTTATATGTATATTAATACAGAAAGTTATTAAAATCATATATAATCAATAAAATTGTGCATGGAATCAATAAAAACTCTTACTTCATATATTTATAAAAATGCAATCAAAAACAACACCATCGGTGACTCATGGAGCTGGGCTCCAAGCTATGCGACACATCAACTGATTAATAGGGGTTTTGTGGTGGAGGTGTGAGATCATAATAATGTTCAATAGGTTCCTAGAAAGATGCACGTGAGTACTGTCAGTCCTAAAGTTACCGGCTGGCGATATCAAATATTTTTCTATAAAAAGAAATGCGCCAGGAGGAAAACTATGTGGTGTCACCGACAAAGGGTTAATAAATCCATATATAAATCCAAGAGTACCCATGAACTTTTGAGAAAACTAAAAGTCACACCTCCATAAACCATACACTTAAAATGTTCGTCATGGTGAGAAACCTTGCGCAAAACTATCCATTATTTCATAAATTGCCCTTTAAGGTCGTAATTCCTTTCTAAAGGGAACTTTCCATATACCTAATTTTTTTTGTCCTAGGACGCTAGGCACGAGCCTGGGATTGTTTTTCACATTACTTCAGGCTAGACCTAGGGGTTGCGGCATTATCACTTAGATAAAATCCATTGGTGACTTGGCGGGGATCGAGCCCGGGACCTCAGGGTCTGAAGTCCCGTGCTTTAACCACTACGCCAGCTCGCTCCCCCAAGTCATTAGGTAGGCCTATACAGGGTGATTGATATAAGTGTGCCAGCTATTTTATTCGAAAGTTATAAGAGATACAACAAAATGATAAATTGTAACTGCCTTGGATTTTTTATTTAAACAATTTTGGTCAAATTCAAAAAATAGTTTTAGCCGCCATTTTTCCAATATGGCCGCCAACTTTGATTTTTCTTGTGGAAGACCCTATATTTTATTATTTTTTTTAGAAAGTAAATGCAATTTAAAAACGTTTTTATTCTTGAAATTTTTTCTCTAAAGCTACTCGTTTATGAGTTACGGCGTGTTAAAACTAAGAAAAAATTACTTGCGGTGTACATTTTGCATCATGTAGCTCCAAAACAAGTACGTTTAGAGTGAAAATGCAAAGAGGAAAAAGTCTTAAAATTGCATCTGAATTCTAAAAAGACCATAACAGACACGGGTTTCCTATTTTCAAATTTCCCTGCCATTTTGGAAAATGGAGGCCATTTTTGAAACAATGGAATCAATATTGTTATGTGTGTTATGGACTTTTTAGAATGTAGATGCAGTTTTAAGACTTTTTTACTCTTAGCACTTTTTTTCCTTCACAAATTTTTCTTAGTTAACTCCTAAACGAGTAGCTTTAGAGAAAAAATTCCAAGAGTAACATGGTTTTTAAATTGCATTTACTTTCTAAGAGAATCATAAAATATAGGGTCTTCCATAAGAAAAATAAAAGTTGGCGGACATATTGGAAAAATGGCGGCTAAAATTGTTTTTTTTTATTTGACCAAAATTTAAAAAAAATCTAAGGCAGTTACAATTTAACATCTAGTTATATCTCTTATAACTTTCGAATGAAATAGCTGGCACACTTATATCAATCACCCTGTATACCTAATGTTAAAAATACCTCAGCTGTACTTATTTGTATGTTATTCTTTTAATTTATTACCTTATTAAAATCAGGTGTGATTATTTGTTTGTATTACTGTACTCTGTTCTGTTTATTTCAGCTTAACTTAACCAATCAATAGTTTTATTAATACTTATGAAGTCAGACGGGGTGAAGCCTGTGGGTAACAGCTAGTTCAATTAAATGTTGTTTAGCAGTAGTAACGAAAAAATAAAATAACTAAAACTAGAAATGTGCCACTGACTAGACCTACCTGTCTCTTTCCCTAATGGTTAGAGCCTCGATAATACAATATCCAAGTACATCGTATGACATGGTGGTCAAGTACTTGAGGGCATCTACCATCGGGACTATCAAGTTGTCATACTGCTGGATCTGAATCAGCATCTGTAACAGAGTAACAGGTACACTAAACAACAAATCACTTTACTGTGCTCAAATTTGGAACTGTTTCTTATTGACACTTTAATTCTTTTGGCAATTTTCTGAAATAACTTGCTTGGGGTGCTTTGTAAGAGGGCTTCTTTGAGTAAAATTCAAGTCTATGGTGAGTAGATAGAATAGAGCAGATATTATGTTTTTAAGTAATATTTTCCATTATTTTTATTAAAGAGTTTTGATTTATATGAGCTTTAATGGTTAACCAAGTCTGTCCTCTTTTAAAATTTGAAATTGTAAATTTTTCAATTGTGGGGAGACATAAAGGGTACGGAGAAAAATTAGATGAATAATAAATACCACTGCTGCAGCAAACCTGCAGACTCAGCAAATTTCCATTTACCTGGCTAGATTTCCACTATAATATTCCATTAAAATTATCAGATTTACTTTTTATTTAAATAAAAGTACCGAGAGACCGAGCCTTGCTAGGTTGTGGTTAATTGGGTTGAATCGTTAAACCAATATTGTAAACAGACACATTATTGGTCTTGATAAAATTAACACGCACCTTATGGGTTGCCATGCTGGTGACGAAATAACAACGAAATATAAACAGAAAATCAAAACAAATGGGATAAATTCCAATCACGTGATTTATTTACAGCGTTTGAAAATAGAACAGTTTGCACAATCTTACTAATATTATAAATGTGAAAGTTTGTGTGTTTGTTTGTTTGTTTGTTTGTTTGTTTGAAGTTCAATCACGCATAAACCACTGGACGGATTGGGCTGAAATTTGGCATCATGATAGCTCACATTCCCGATTAACATATAAGCATATTCTTATCTCAAAATTCCTTTCGGGCTCCGCCCCAGTGGCTCTATAGTTCCCCATGTTAACCTTATGAGTATTCATATTTAAAGGGAAATAAATAATTTAGTCAGCTGTTTCAACTAAAAAATTTGGTTCTGTGATATTCAAAAGCATTAAAGTTATAAGATTTACCAACAGGGTGCAGTAATATATTTTTTTGCATTTATGTAATGGGAACTGTTAGTGAGTAGGATTGTTTACAGTTATCTTTATGTTTTTAATGTCATGAATAATTTGTGATTTTTTGAGAATTTTTAATAATTTATTTTTATTCCTTTTAGGTGAAGTGGTAGAACATTATGGCTATAGGAGATGTGTAATACCATAGTATACCGTCAATTTAAAGAAGCAAATTTTATCAAACTTTCTCCTCCCCCATTACAAACGCATAACTGCAATAGGCATTTTAAACTTATATGCCAACCCCGTACGAAGGACGGGTACTCTGCTAGTAATACATATTTTTGGTTGAGTTTTCAACCATGGGGCGACCTCTAGTATAAATTTGAATGCATGGTGTTTTTGGCCTCTGGGGACCTCAAAACTTTAAGTGAATCGGTCCCAGGGCTAGGTCTTACTATGAGACCTACAGTAATAGCTTACTCCCTATATGGGAAATTCGCTAAAAACATTGCTAGTTGTATGTAAGAATATGCTTCATGAAAAATTTATGCTGAAACCTTTCTCTTAATTTCTGCATAGTTTACTTTTATAGGTACTTCATAAAATGAGGAAAACATAAGGCCAGTACTTTGGTTCTTTTGAGACTAGTAAAATTATATGGCTAAGCTTTTGATAATATTAGTGGCACAAGCTCTAAATAAGAGAAAAGTAGAACTAAATGCTCTATATCAGAGGGGTGTTTCCATCCAAAAGATAGACAGCCAGACTGAGATACGACTTTGCTGTGTTTTATGTTTATTAACACCAAATACATTTGGCAAAATATTTATGTAGAAAAAGTCACAGTATATCTCATGTGGAACAATACTTACGTAGTCAAAGAACATCCCAGGAGCAGAGTGGGTCAATTTCCCTATGTGTCGTCCCATAGGCTTAATGGTTTCTTTGGTCACTCTCTTCATGATGTTTTTGATCTTTTTTTGTGTTTCAGTTTTTCTTCTTAATAACTTGGCATGATGTAAAGGTGTCTCGTTCTTCCAGCGGCTGTATAGAGAATACCTGTAAAGGGTATATTGACAATAAAGATGTAAAAAAACATACTCCAGTCAATCATGTAAGAATGAAACAGTCCATACAGGAGAGGCTGGGCAGTATCATCAGGCCCAACAGAGAGATTGTATCCCAGTACATCTACATCACAATACACTTACCTGGTCTGGTAGGGGAAGAGTTTGACCACATTCCAGATGTGATCTGCCACACAACAGTTGGCGTCCATACAGGAGAGGCTGGGCAGTATCACCAGGTCCAACAGAGAGATAGTATCCCAGTACATCTACATCACTTTACACTTACCTGGTCTGGTAGGGGAAGAGTTTGACCACATTCCAGATGTGATCTGCCACACAACAGTTGGCGTCCATACAGGAGAGGCTGGGCAGTATCACCAGGTCCAACAGAGAGATAGTATCCCAGTACAAAGAATCTTCTGATGGATATCTCACACCATCTGAGATAGCCTGTAAATGGTGACCACAATTTAACTAGTTGTCTCTTTGTAATGCCTTGATAAGTGACATCTGGATTTATAGAATTTGCCTAATGTAAACTTATATGGCCCTACCATAATGAATTATTAAAAATTTACTTACTACACAATATGTTTTATGACCTCGACTAAAGAACTTGTACTGATTTAACTGTCCACAAACTCAAGAGAATGTGCCTAGAAGACACAAAAAAAGGAAAGGTGTAAAAAAGGAAAAAAACTCCTATTTTTTTGGAGCTCTACAGTTTTAAAACAAAAACCCCAACTATTACTGGATGTGTCTTGTTACCCTTTTATAGTATTTTAAGTGGTTCTAATTATTTTCTTTACATTCCCAGAAATGTATTCTTTTCTCATATATAATGATTTACGTAAAGTAATTAGGCTATATATATATAAATTGAATGTCTGCTTAACATTCAGACAGAACCGAGCAACTGAAGACAACACACCTGTTCCACAGCAGAGCGCAAGATTCTGACTATTTTATACACGAGTACCGGATCTTGGTGTAGGGCAGGGCCCAGAGCATATAACATGGGCATCACGTCGTTGCGTAGGTCTAGCAGTGTGAAAGCCTGCGGCGGGGCGAGGCGACTCTTGGGTGGAGGCACAGGGCGACCTGGGATTTTGGGACCCAGACCACTATGCCTATATCACAAAAATGTCTCATTTAATGCAACCCTAATAGTGTGTAAATTTTATAATTTGTGCACCTCACCTTGACGTCCAAGTGTAGCGACGTCCAATATAAAATATTTGACCGTTGCCTGACGTCCAAATCTCGTCATGTCCTAAAGTACAGTAACTGCAGTAAACATAGTCTTTTTACAACTTCTGGATGTCATGAAATTAGTCGTTGTGAAGCAGAGCAAATTAAAAAAAAAGAAACAATGTCACAACATCCGATAGCTCAGCGCTGTCCTATGACGTCCAGAGCACCTGCAGCACACTGTGAAAACTGTTTTACCGACTGTAGTGCATATTAACCTACCCTAGTATGCAGGAGCTCTGGACGTCCTGTGACAGCACTGAGCTATTGGACGTCATGCAACTGGCAGCGCCTTTGGACGTGGTGCTACTGCCAAGTTCTAAGGGTATAAAGTGTGCTGTTGAACGCGTGCATATTAACCTAACCTAGTATGCAGGAGCTCTGGACGTCATGCAACTGGCAGCGCCTTTGGACGTGGTGCTACTGCCAAGTTCTAAGGGTATAAAGTGTGCTGTTGCACGCGTGCATATTAACCTAACCTAGTATGCAGGAGCTCTGGACGTCATGCAACTGGCAGCGCCTTTGGATGTGGTGCTACTGCCAAGTTTCTAAAGGTATAAAGTGTGCTGTTGCACGCCGACCAATCCCATGACGTCTAAAGCTTGTACAACAAAGACTATGTTCCTTGAAGTTACTTGACTTTTGGACAGGATGAGATTTGGACGTCGTGCAACAGTCGAATCGTTTATATTGGACGCTGTGACCTGGACTTGTATCATTGGACGTCGTGAGATTTGGAGGAGTTGCAACACTCCCACATTTTTTCTATAAGAATAATCTTACAAGTAACAAATAAGGAAACACTGCTAATAATATATCATGTGTATTTCTCGTCATTAATAAGTTAATAACACATGGTATCTAGATCTAGGGTTAGACATTTTCTTTGTAATTTTGTAATTGTTTTATAAATTTGCCCAGCTAGGCTCAAAGGACTCTTAAACAGATATAACAATAACAATAACTTAAACAAAATATATAATTAATTTTAATAAACAAATTTTGGATTAAGTAAGCAAGGCTTTTTTTAAGATACAACACCCAAAATGAGGAGTTTTTCAATAATGCTTAAAATCAAACTCCACCAACACAAACTAAAACTTGGAAAGGAGGTAGCACAACAGAGCCACTTTATATATACCCAGTAATGATCAGCTCTTAACTCTTAAACTCTGATTGGTTGATTTTTGCTGTGACTTTCAAGTATTTACTCTCTAAGCCAAACAAAAACAATGTATTGAAAATTTTTGAAACTTGTCATAGCATAAAACTTGTAAAGATTGTTGAATCTTGTCTTTTATTGACGGCCGTATTGAATTGGCAAAAAAACTGGTTAACATTTTGAATGGGTTGCAAACAATTTATCTACTGAAAGCTTGCACTGAAGATAGTTTGTTGCAAATGCAGCCAAGATTCAACAGTCTACTGTGAATGACTCACTTTCTGTAGACAGGCTCTATGAGTGAGTTGATCAGCTGACACAGTGCCTTTGCTATCGGAGGCTGATCCATGACACAGAAGTCTGGTAGCCGCTTACTCAATACTTGACAGTTGGCCCAGTCACCCACCTCCAATAGAGCCTCACACAGTCCAAACTTCTGGTTCCTCGCATGCTGGAACTAGTACAGCAAGTTACAAGAGCAAAATCACCAGTGTTGCTGAGGACGCAAATATACTCAGATGATGCTACAGTCGCGGGAGACAGTAAGAACAAGTAAATATTACAAGTTAACATGTCAAAAATAAAATTGTTTACAGTTACAATAAAAATATTGTACCTCTTTTTCCTGGGCAATCATGAAAAGCATTATCCAAAAACGGATTTTGGATAAGTAACTGTACTCTCATTAAAACTTGAGTTGATCTTTACCTCTACTACTACTTTTTACCTTTAACCTCTTCTAAATGGCCTAAATTCTAATTAATCTAATATTCACGATTTTTTGTGAGGATAGCAGGCTTACCTGAATGGGAAAGAGTTCAATCTGGACCAGTTTTGATTCTTTCCCAAGTAAGCACACTACATATCTTAAAAAAATTCTTAAAACCTATGCCTGTGTGCTCTATGTTACATCGTTAATCTAATATTATTGTTTATCAGAAGATTTATTTTAGTGTTTTTTGTTCGTCCAAAATTGTGTTTTTTGGGGGTTTGAAGTTAATCAGTTAGGTACATATCAATAGAAGTGTGCGGATATCTGAAAAATTGGGATGGATTCGGATTAGTTCAATCAAATATTGGTAACTGAACCGAGCAAAAATTTCATATTTACATCTGTTAAATATCGGATAGACTAGCCGTATCTATTTTGACGGTTTGGACAGAAAACAAAATCTTCATAACTATAATTAATTTTCCTGGATAAAATTACAGCATTACACTTCTAACAACCTAACAATGATCAACTATACGAGTCACCTACGGCTACGAAAAGTATCAAAACATTCATATGCCTCCACAGTTTAAAATAATCAAATCAACAAACAAAAACACTTTAATAACAATCGATATACTACTTAAGGTGTCGTACAGCAAAACGATAAAAAAATACAAAACGGTTATATTAATACATCATTGACACATTAGACATATGAGATAAGTGCAGTTGAGTTAAATATTACCAATCAATGTAAGACTATTTATATTTAACTAATCCCCTTGAGATATTTCTTATCAGGGTTTTACTGTAATTGTTATAAACATGACCAGTGTAGCTTTTACCTTGTCCGACTCGTCTTCCTTCTCTTCAGACTGTTCACTATCCTTTTCATGTTTAGCAGAAAGTATATTCAGCTTCCTACTGTGTTCCTTGGCTTTCTTTATTTCTTTCTCCCAGTCCCGTGTGATGATTTTGTCATCTGGACTCAGCTGTAACATCGTTTGGTTATGTATTAGTTGTTTTCAGTTGGATCGTATCAACAAAAACTAACAAGGAAATGCTACTTAGTAATTAGTAGTGCGAAGTAAAAAAAGGCTATGAGAAAATATTATATCGGGCCTGGCATTGTTGGAATTCCAGTTAATGTATTAGATTTTCTGTTGTGAAGATGTGGACTGTGTGGTATCCTTTGATTTTGTATTCTGATTATGAATATTAATGGAAAAGTGGTGGTTGGTTTATAAATATTGCAGGTCTTACATCTGTTGCTGTCACATGGATATGAGACTTGAGGGAGTGGTTCTGGTAGGTTGGTGGAAGGATGAGGTTGTTTGGGATGGACAAGCATATTCTTTAGGTTTGGAGGTTGCCTAGACGGGGAGGTTTCTTAAAGAGATCTTTTGTTCGGCTGGAGTGTTGTACAATTTTGAAGCCAGAGCATAAGAGATTGTTTACTTTTGTTTTGATAGGTTGGGGTGGTAAGTTATGACTAGGTCAACACATTCTATGTTCTTCTGCAGTTTAGGTTTCTGGTGTTTAAAAATGGTTGGTGGCTGTATTTATTTGGAATTTTACAAGATCAGGAGGATATCCTCTATTCTCAAAGGAAATCTGGAGCTTTGGTTGCAAATATGAGCCTACTCCTCCGTACTATTGGCCAAAATGAATTTAATACGCTCTTTATACACTTTATACTCTTTAATACACATTTTTTATGTCAAAATTGATTATATTAAAGTGTTTTGCTTTGTTTCTAAAGTAAAAAAAAAAAAAATTAATACACTCTTAAACAAACCAATAAATACATTTTACTAAGATTGTACAACCAAAAGTACAAACACATGATAATATAAGTTACATTTGGTTGTTCAATCTTAGTCTAATGTATTTATTGGTTTGTTTTTAGGTCGAGTAGGCCTATACAGAAAGAAATTCATTCCTTTCTTTAAATGAAGAATTAAATGAATTTGTGTAGATTTAACAGTTATTGATATCCACAAAACATACCCAGGGGTAAATATCATCCAGTGAGATCACACCATGTTGAAGCATCAGTGCTGTGACAATGTAGAGGGAATGTGGTATCGTAGAGTTCGGATAGAAGGAAAACTTAAATGCAATCACTTCTGCCAGTGTCTTGGAGTCAGACATGTAATTTTGAATAAGAGGTATAAAGAAGTCCACTTGTTCTGGTCTATCTTCAAACGAATCCAGCATCACGTCCAGTACCCTGTTTGGATCCAGGTTGAAATAACCTATAAAATACAAATTTATGAGGATAAAAAATTAAGAAATGTTTAGAGGTGTGCGGATATCCGAAAAAATCGGGTCGGATTCGGTTCGGTTCGGATATCCGTATCCGAACCGAGCCCAAATTTGATATCCGACACTATCCGTTATATATCCGACTTTTTCGGATAGACAATATATTTTGACGTTTTGGACAGAAAACTAAATCTCCTTAACCACCATTAGTTTTCCAGGACAAAATTACAGCAATACATTTCCAACGACCTAACAGCAAACGGCAAAGAAGACGTATGATGCAATACCGATAACTAGTTTAGTCGTTGTCGGCTGTTTTGCTTTACGATTAGATTCGTCTGGAACGAACAGACATAAAGCAGAAAAGAACTACCATGGTCAAATGAAAGTCAACTCGTGCTTGTCTCGCTTCTGATACTAGGGGCGCTGCCAAACTTTTCAAAACTGATACAATTTTTAACCCGAACCTCAAGACTCCTGACATAAAGAACCAGCCAAACTTTTCAAAACTGTTATAATTTTTAACCTAAACCTCAAGATTCCTGACATAAAGAACCAGCCAAACTGTTCAAAACTGATACAATTTTACACCTGAACTTCAAGACCCCTGACATAAAGAACCAGCCAAACTTTTCAAAACTGATATAATTTTTAACCTGAACCTCAAGATTCCTGACATACAGAACCAGCCAAACTTTTCAAAACTGATACAATTTTACACCTGAACTATGTCGAAGAACAAAAAAGTTTCAAAATATCCCTGTGGTGAATGCAACATCGGTGTAAAATACTCCAGTATAAAATGTACTGGTCCCTGCAACTCCTGGTTTCATGGTGGATGTGTCAATATCACAGAAAAACAATTAAAAAACCTTTCTAAAGAAGACATTTTCCTATGGAGGTGTAACAATTGTAGTGATCTTTCCCTCACCTCTGGAAAGCCAGCGTTACAACTAAAAGAAGACCAAACTCCCACACCCCTAAATCAAATATCCTCTGAAAGTCAGGGTAACAAAATGGGCGAGGTAGAAAACAAAATTCTAGAACTAGAAAACTCAGAAGATCCCGATTTAGAAACTTCTCTAACACTTGCAGCAGAAGTTGGAAACGCACTTCTAGCACAAAATAGCAAACTAAGAGAAGAAGTACTCAACCTGACTCAACAAAACTCGAGTCTGGCCCAGAAACTAACAAACATACAAACCATCGACATCATGAACTACCATGCTCAAATTGAACAACTAGAAGATGAGAAAAATACTATTCTAATTAGAAACAACGACCTAATCGAAACAATAACTGAACTAGAACACCAATTGGAAAAGGAAGTAAGCCTGAGAAACACTCTCACAAAAACATTTGAAGATTATGACAAAGACAGGGAAGAAACTTTTAATAGCTTCAACACAAAAATAAAGGACATGGAGAATGAAATTAAATGCCTTAGGCAAAAAAATACATGCAGCAGAATAAACACCGGAGAAGAATCTACAAAATCATTCAGAGAGACAAGCACACAGACAACCACTACAGAGGCGAAGGACCTCACAAACAAAACCACAGTTTCAGACAACAAAAATCCAGAAGCATCAAACACAGAAACACTAATTCTACTTGAACTAAAGGCCCTAAAAGAAAAACAGAATAATATGGAGTCAAAAATGAAGAAATTAGAAGATAAAATAACAGTAGAAGATTCCCAGCAACTAATAACTGAGAAAAAGGAGACTCCTTGCAAGCCAATTAACACACCAAGACGAGTTTCATATAATAAAAACAAATTGGCAACTACTAAGAAAACCCATTTCAGTGTTTCCTTGCAAATAGCAAAAAGCAAGTTGAGGAAAGAAGCACCAGAACACCAAAGTCAACCACAACAAACACAAAATCAAAATATTAAAAAACCCAAGGCCATCAAAATTCCAAAAGGAGTTTGCTCTACTTTCAAGGGCACTATATCTCCCCCAAACAAATCAACTAAACCAAAGAACACAGGGAAACCCCCGATCACCGCCAAGCTTCTTAAGCCGGGAGAGACCATTGAAGACTTCTTTTGGAAAAATATAGACCTATATAAAAAGAATATTCTGTCACACACCAAGCGACTAAACATGACCGAGATGGACTGCCTCTCTTCTCAAGGAGAACAGAAACATGAGCAGCTGCAAGAACCCAATTCAAGTCAACAATCTAATTAATAACTCTACAGTGCCCCATACTATAACCCCTTTTTTAGAAACAAACAGCCTGAAAAAAGCAAAAGAAAAATCTGCAAATCTCCAAATAATTCTTGTGTAGCAATAATGCACCAAAATATTAGAGGACTTGCTACAAAGACGAACAGACTACACCATATTCTCAATGACACAAAACCAAGCATTCTAGTCTTGACTGAACACGGACTGAAAAAAACAGAGCTAGAAGCTACAAAAATTCCCGGCTACTCTTTAATTACCCACTTTAGTAGAGAAGAACATAAACTTGGAGGTGTTGCAATATATTCCAAGGAATCCCTTGCTGATACAGTATCAGCTATTAACATATCAAACACATGCCAGGAGTTAATTTTCGATGCAGCAATGATTCGCATGCAGACAACAAAGAAAAAGGATATCTACATTCTGGGAATCTATAGACCACCAATCGAAAATGCAAGAATTGCCCTTGACCTCCTATCAGACACGCTAGAACTACAAGAAGTACACAAGAAAAACCTAATACTTATCGGTGACATAAATATCGACAGGCTCACCCAAGATTCCAAAAACACCATGCTGGAAGAAGAGTTAACCACACAAAACATCTGGAGATTTCCTCTAGAGGCCACCAGAATAACCCATGACACAGCCACTTCAATAGACTGTATATGCTCAAACATACCATGTGCGTATATTACTGGACAAGTTGTGCATACTGGTCTATCTGACCACACTGCGCAGCTGTGCCTGCTGAAAACACACCAAGAAGACACTTCCCAAAGATTTTTAATGAAAAGAAGCCTAAACAACACAAACCTAAACAATCTGAAGGCCCACCTCCATCTACAAAATTGGGAACATGTTTACTCTTCACCCAATCTTGAAACCTCCTACAACAAATTTCATAATATTCTTCAAACAGCACTGGATTATACATGCCCATTAAAGAAAACTAAAATTATTAAAAACAAAAAACATATGAAGTACTACGATCCTGAAGCAAAATACCTTAAAGAGAACTTTTTGAAAGCTCTGCAAAAGTTTGAGTTAACGAACAGAAATGAAGACAAATTAGAAATGATTAATAGAAAAAGGATATACGACATGAAACTAAGAAACCTAAAAATGTCCTCAACAGCTAGCTTCATAGAACAAGCTGACAACAAACCAAAAGCACTATGGCAAGTTATAAACAAGGAAAGGAAAGGAAAATGTGAAGAGAAAACCCTTGCAGAATTAGAAATAAATGGCAAACTCACAAACAACACAAAAGAAATGGCCGAACACTTCAACACATTCTTCTCAAATATAGCAGAAAATACCCTTGAACAAAACAGAGCAATCGTTATAGACCCTGAAACAGTGCTGAGTGGAGAGGAACCAGTCTGCCCAATACACCTTACCCTAACTTCAACATCCTATAAAGAAGTTAAAACGATAATAAACTCCCTAAAAGCCAAAACATCAAGTGGAATAGATGAGTTTTCCTCTAAGATGATAAAGCACTGCTCTCAAGAACTCATCTCTCCTCTGGTTTATCTTATAAATAAATCATTTAAAGAAGGCAAATTCCCATCCGCCATAAAAGTCAGTAAAATATACCCCAAACATAAAAAAGGACCAACTGAAAATGCTCAAAACTACAGGCCCATTTCTCTCATCTCCAGTTTCTTTAAAATCATAGAAAAAATTGCTCTGGCTAGATTAATGGCACATCTTAATCATAACAAACTCTTAACTGACAACCAACATGGCTTTCGGAAGAATAAATCTACATCCTCAGCTATAACAGCACTAATTGAGTACGTCCTAGACCAGATAGAAAACGAACAATACATTTCCGCCATCTTCCTTGATTACAGTAAGGCTTTTGACTGCCTGGGCCACGACCTGATATGCAAGAAACTTGAAAGACTCGGTATAAGAAACTCTGCGCTAGAATGGTTCAAAAGCTACCTAACGGGACGTTCACAAGTCGTGGAACTGAAAAACTCATCAAATGAAGTCACAGAAAGTTTCAAATCTTAAAAAAGCAAGCTGACGAGAGGAGTTCCACAAGGCTCTGTATTAGGCCCGATTCTATTCATCTTATTGACTAATGACTTCCCCAAACAAATTGAGAGTGAAAATGCTGTTGCAATCATGTATGCAGATGACACAACCATTTTGATCAAGGACAACACAGCCCAAAGCCTTTACCTTAATTCAAAATCGATCTTAAATAAAGCTATCCTCTACTCAAAGAACAATGACTTAGCAATAAACCCCACAAAAACTACAACTCTGAATTTCAGTAAGAAAAAAGACATAGTCCCTCAATTAGAGGATGTAACAATAGAAAACTACACAAAATTTCTCGGTGTTATCCTTGATAACAAACTAACATGGAAAGAGCACATCAACCACCTAAGCAAAAAAATCAGTACTGGAATATATGTCGTCAGAAGGATAAACTACATAGGCGGGACTCTCTGTGGCCAAAACAGCTTACTTCGCACTGGTAGAGTCGCATCTTAGATATGGCTTGACAGTGTGGGGAGGAACTTCAACAAAAAATATGAATCGAATTCTTGTCCTTCAAAAGAAAGCCATAAGAGCCCTCGCCAACCTTGTACCACCACAGACTTGCAGACTAGCATTCGTAAACCTAGGAATCCTCACAGTGGTGTCTCTCTACATACTTGACACCATTAAGTATGTGAATGAAATAAACCCCCCAAGAAACCAAGACCTGCACCACTACAACACCCGTCATGGCTCCAAATTTGCACTACCAGTTCACCGAACAACTC